ACCTCACCTCAGTTCCACCTGTCCATTTTCTTCTCAGCCCAGTCGAAGTGACACAGTTGCAAACTTTCTTGTTCAGGCCAGTTGAATTGCCTTCCATTCTATCATGGTTTCAACATTCGATTGTTTTTCCATTCTCGTGTCATGTGCTATCATTCAATCCTACTGGACTGTTGGCTGTTGCCTGAACGACGTTCAAGCACGCTTGGGCTGCAGCATTTTTTCCATGCACAAAGTACCTCAACACATGCAAACTGCCATAGCATTGCAACACATTACTGTAGAATTACATTATGCACGCAGTTCGGGCAAGATTCCACGGCAAAGCGGCGACGCCTAAGACCGTCGCGCGCACGCGCGAGCCAACTTTTCTCCACAACGGAACCCGTTTACCCGAAAAAACGCAATGTTTCGTGCGAATCCTAACATTCTCCATGATGTAGCAGTTCCAATGGGATCTGCCAACAATGACCTGCAAAACACAATCAGAATCGTAACTTCTCTGCTCTACTTGTCTCTTCCCCACTCTACTTTTCTCAACTCTACCTTAAGTTGCAAGGGTGAATGGTTGGTTGGGAAGGGACTCCCTTGCAATATGAAACATGTTTGGTTTGTAACTGACCAATCTTGTGCCACTTTTGGCTCAAGATTGGTCCTTCTTTTTGTTTGTCGGGGGGGATGCCAGAGATCACTCCCACGGACCTCGCTCAGCTTGGTCAACTCGCCTCGGACTGGGTCGAGCGTGGTCGGCGACTGGGTTTCCCGACCAGGCCGGCCGGTCTGTCCGTGGCTGAGAGGCGAGCAGATCGTGGTGCGGCCGCGGCATTTTCCCTGGTGACCTTCACCAACTCCGAGTTCCTCGAGGCGTGCGATCGCTGCGGACTCTGGACAGCCAGCTGGTGTGAGGGGTGCTACTCAAGGGCGGTCCGGGACCGTGACCTTGGGTTTGCACCTATCTGCACCATTTGTGACCAGGAAAAGCTGGTCTGCACCGCCTGCCAGGCTGATGGGAAAAGCTGGCAGGATGGCCACCTCGCCTACACGGCCCACTTTGCCGAAGAGGCGGCGGGACAGGTCCTCATCGAGACCCCGACCGGAGGGACTGGTATCTTCACAGTCGTCGGGTTCAGCGGCAGTGCAACCCCCAGGACTGGAACCGGAGGTGCAGGAGCTCCTGCTGAACAGGCCAGCAGCTCTGGCCCCATTCCTGGCGAGCCTGGGAGTCCAGACTTGTGCTGACATCCGTCACATGTGGTCCTCTGGGCAGGCCCTTGTGGCGGAATTTGAAGCCTCAGATGGCAGACTCTCGGCAGACCAGGCTTTCTCGGTTGCAGCCTTGTGGACACTCGCCTTGAGTCGTGCCACAACCCAGGGGATATCGGCCATTGTGGAAGACCGGACATCCGTGTTCTCCAAGAACACTGCCCCACGCCCTGAACCTGGCCAACCTAGCAAGGTGGTGACCTACAGGAAGCTCATCCAAGCGGGGGGCACACCAGAGCCACCCTCCTTTGCTCGTGCTGCTGCCACCGACCCTTATGCCAAGGAGCAGTCTGTTAGGGTGGCCAAGATGGATGCGTTCTTTCAGATGTTGATGGAGGACGTAGTGGACGCTGCTGAGCTGGGTCTCACAGTGGACAACCTCCAGGATGCCGGCTCCATCCAGTCACTCAAAGAAAGTCTCATGGCCACCCCAAACCAGTTGAGCACCGAGAGAGTGGGCTCCTTGATGGCTGCCTTGAAGCGGTGGAAACGGTTTGCATTGCCTCGCAAGTACCCCCTCCGTGCACCTACGCCTTTGCAGGTGGCTGAGTTTCTACGCGATGTGAGCCGAGGCGGCCCCACGGCAGCTGCAAGTGTGTGGCAAGCTTTGAAGTGGTTCAAGGAGAAGATGGGGATGCAGATTCCTTGTGACCACTTCCTGGTCCTGCCCTACAAGAACTTCCCTACAGCATATTCCTCGTCACAGGCCGTCGAGCTTCAGCCGTGGGAACTGGTCAACCTGATTCTGTTCGCTCGACAACAGCGAGGCACGAACTTGGTGCTGATATGTTTCCTCTTACAGTGCAGCGTGTCTTGCATCAGGTTTGAACATTTCCAGCGCAGCCGGCTGGTCTCCCACCAGGCTGAATGGGCTCGCTTTTGGTGCCGCCAAGGTAAACGCCGAGTGCGAGGAGCCCGACCAGGATATGAATGGGCTACCCCTGAACTGGCATGGCAAGGGTTCTCCCTGCTGAAGGTGCTGGCAGAGTTTTTCAAGCACGAGTGCCTCACCAATGCGGGCTTCTTATGGCCACAGGTTCAATTGGACCCTCAGGATCTCTGGGAGATTCATGAAGGGAGCCCTTTCAACGTGGCCAAGCCCATGTCTAGGCAGCGATTCCTGGAAATCTTGCGAGGAGCCCTGCACCAAATAGGGGTACCTATTGAAGAAGCTCCCACGGCGACCTTCAACAAGCTCAGGAGGTTCATGCCAACTTTGGCAAATGTGCTGCGATTGGATGCCCCAGAACTTCAAGCAGTGGGCTCTTGGATAGAGATACCTGCTGCAGGTGGACCCTCACCTACCACCAAGTCCCGAGCCACATGGATCATGGGCAGGCACTATGCTGGCGGGCAAACCGAAAGGTCTGCAGCGGTCAAGAGGGCCATACTGCAAAGGTTCTGGAAGCTCTTCCACATGAAGCAAGGGGAGATTGCTATGACGGACCAGCATCTGCTTCCCCGGGGGTCTTGGACCTGGCCGGAGCTGGCAGTGGCTAACGACCGCTTGGGGCCACTGGAAATCGCCCCTATACCTGTCCCCGAAGGAGCAATCCAGGTCGACAACCCTGATGAGCTGGCAGCCATGGAGCTCCCTGCAGACCAGGACAACCCGGCCCAGCAGGCCGTGGAGGAGAGGCCGGAGCCGCTCCACTCAGACGCCTCCAGTTCCACGACGTCCACATCAGCCAGCGACGTGAGTGCTGCAGGCTCCGACATGGAAGGAGTGGTGGTTGTGGACGCAGCTATGGACCAGACCAGTTGGATCCAGCAGGGAAGCAAGACCCACGTGGTCAAATCTTTGGACACCGACTCCCGACCGGTGCCATGGTGCCGCGACTTCGCCTTCCAACAAGACCCAAGGCGAGCCGGCCAAGGTTTTGGAACTACAGCCAGGCAGCTTTTCTGCCAGCGCTGCCTTGCAAGGATGCCGCGGGCCATCTACAGCGCTGTGGCTGCCCAATGTGGCTGGCTGATCTGACACCGCCCTAGGTGCTATAAAGTGAGTGGCTGCCTTTTGTGTAAATAGATACCTGGGGTTTGGGTTTACTGTTATAGGTCTTTGCCTCATGTTTTCATGTCGCCACCTTTTCAGACCCATGTTGCTGTGAGTGGTTTACAACAGTGCACACTGGCTCAGTCTTGCCTGTTGTCACCGCCCCAGCCGCCGTAGGCGCCCCGGGTGACTGCAGCCATGAGTGCTGTGTCCCGCATTGACGTCAGGCAGAACGATCGAGGCCTGCAGACATGCTTCGACGCTGCCAACGTCCAATCTACATGGGCGGCTACGTTCTGCAAGCTGCACAAGCTGGAGACGTTGGACGATTTTGTCTACCTCATGGATTCTAAGGACTGGGAGCAAAACCTCAAGGACCTGCTCAACGCCTCGAGTGACTTGAAGGACAATAGACTCATTTTGGCCAGGTTCAAGGCTGCCTACGAAAGCGGCGTCTCGGCCATCAAGGCCAGTCAGGCGACTCAGAAAGTAGAGGACTCAGTGGACACAGTGCTGCCTGAATCTACCCTTCAGGCTATCACGAAGGACTTCGCCCGTCGGTATGGTGTGGTCTTGGACCCCCATCTGGACCCAAGTGATAGTTTGCGCAGCCGTGTCTACAAAGAGTTCCGCCGCCAGACTATGACAGTGTTGGAGACGAGACGCATCAAGTCAATGATGCACATCGCGGTCCCCCAAGACGACAGAGAACATCAAGCTGTCAGACTCTTTGCAGCTGCAGCTACAGGAGGATGAATCTGTGGTGATCACCACCGCCATCGAATACTACTTTGCCCTGCGTACACTTTGCAACGCCTGGGCCTGGGCTGGCAACTTTGAAGCCACCGATTTTGACGACACCAAGAAGCTCTTCATCAGCCTTGATCAAGCTCAAGGGTACGCAGATTTCTGCCTACGCATGAACATCGAAGTGGGACAAGGATCCCTTCAGTGGCTGATGAAGAACGACATGCTGACCCGATCCAGAATGGCCTCATTAATCCGCCGGAACTACACTGGGGGGTCGGCCCTTAAAGAGGCCCTTCACCAAACCCATCTGGAGTGGCGTAGCCCGGCCTTGCAAAGCTCTGGGAGCTTACCTAAGGCACGTGGCCAGCAACCGCCGCCGGAGCCGGCAGGGGGGCCACCATCCAAACGACCCCGCCAGATTAAGCCGGACACGAGGCAAACAGTGAGCATGTTGAAAGGCGGAAAGAAGCTATGTAAGGCCTGGAACGACCAGCGTGGCTGTAAGTCAGATTGTGGCAACCTTCACGCCTGCGACGTGCGCATGCCTAGCGGCCAGGCTTGCCAAGCCACATCTCACAACAGGCAAGCGCACCCTGAATAGGGACAGCGCCCCCTGCAGGCTTTTGCGTCTGCGGGGGGGCCACCACCCACTGCAAGGATTCCCGCTCTGGGTAGTGTGGATCCTCCAGATGCTGAAGGTGGCCCGCCAACAGTAACATGCAGGACGGTGTCTTTGAACGGGACCGCGCCTGCGACCTCTGTGGCTCCACGCCAGATTCATGTCGATGATGACAACGTCGGGCCTGCATTCCGGCATACAATTTTAGCTCCAGGCGCCGATCCTCCACCAGTTTCCCTGAGTGCCCGCCTTGCCGCAGCAAAACCGGTGACATGGAGGGGTAAGGGCGATCTGGCACAGTATAGCTGGACTGGAACCCCCTTAAAAGGGTCATGGCTTGTGATAGACCTCTGGGCAGGTTATTCAGGCCTAGTCATTGCGATGTTGTGTCTTGGGGTTCATTGCTATAGCTGCAGAATGCAATCCGACAGCTCGAGCTTGTGCGGCACAGGTCATGCCCCAGATCGTTCATGTGGACGCTGTGGAGAAGGTGCAGGTGCGCGATCTGCGGGAGTTTTTACGGCGCCGTAAAGTTAGGGGCATTTTGGTAGGGGGTGGCTCTCCATGCCAAGCCAATAGTAGTCTCAATGCTGGCAGACGGGGTTTAGGTGATCTTAGATCCCTTCAACCCCAAGTGCTTGCCCGCTTGGTGGAAGATCTTTCCCAAGAACCTCTTTGTCAGGGTCTGGAAATTATTGCTTTTCTGGAAAACGTTCACAGCATGCCCCTTCCGGTGTTGAAGCAGTATTGTAGATGGATGAAATCCAATCCTGTTTCTGTGAACGCGGCGTCATGTGGCTGGACACAACGACTGCGCCTCTTTTGGCTGTGCTCTCGCCGCCGGGGCCTCGAACCCAACATCCCTCCACCAGATGCATGGCAATGGGCACCTTGCCCTACCTCTCATGGTATTCCCGAGCTGGTTTATTCAGGGGCCAAGGCGATTCCCGCACGCTTGCAATGTGATGATGGTTTCGCACCTATGATTGACCCGACTCAGGTGATGAAGAACAGTGGGAAAGGAGCCATGCACACTTTCACACGAGAGTTCTACCACCCCAACGACCGAGTCAAGCAGGTTTCCCCAGCTGCAGCGTCCCGGTTTGACGAAGACCTACGCAGGTTTCCTCCTGGAGCCTACGAGGAACACTCCCTGCTGTGGCAGAAGGAACAATGGAGACAGCCTTCACCAACGGAACGGGCCCAACTCCTAGGGGTTCCCCCAGCAGCGGTTGAAGCCGTCACTGGCACACCAGATGAGAAGCGCCAGGGTAGGAACTCTTTGCTGGGCAACGGCTTTCACATCCCATCTTTACTGGCCATCCTGTGCCTTCTACCAGCGCTGTTGGAGGCCAAGATGATTCCCCAGCCAACGCTACCAGACCATGGACTTCATGAGCGCTTGGTGGGAACAATTTGGGAACCCGGGCGACTACAATCCTTCCCGGATATCCTTGATGGCCCCGCCGTGGTAGCCCGCATGCAAGGCATGTTTGCCTCCATCGTTGTCACTAATGACGTCTGGGCTCTTACTGCGCAGCGTCTGGATGCATGCCAACTCCATCAGCTTCAAGCTTTCGCATCATGGCGGCGCCTTCGGGGAGAGGACTGGTGTCAACTTGGGCCTACACCTGTGTTTGGGAGGGCAAGGTCACGGGTGTTTGCAGGCCTGTCTGGCCAACGTTATGCCCCGGATACCTCAAAAGGCCTTGACCACTTGTTGCCTCCAGGTCTTGGACCTGAGGCACATATGGCCGCAGCCCAGGCATTGCCATCACCTTTCGCCCCACAACCTTGGCCTGGGCCTGATGTTGAGTCCGTCATTGAAACCATTTGGATTTGGCGGGAGTGCCTCCCATTGCTTGCACAACGTCAACGCAATATCCTCCGATCCATTCACCGAGCTCTTCAACCACTGGATCAAGCTCTACGCCCTCATCGTTGCCTGGCTGCTTCGAAGGTGGCGGTACAGAAGAACCCGGCCTTTGTGGCCTGCCTGACAGCCCTGCTGCGCTGGCCGGATACCCAACAACCACTACACCTTCTACAGGGGTACCCTATTGTTGGACCAGTACACCCGTGCGGTGTTTTCAGAGAAATCCACCAGGCCGATAAATCTGACCCAGAAACCTGGATGGGTGATCCAGCCCAAGCCGATTTGGAACGACTCCTACTGTCACGACCACCTCGTCTCGCCCGGGATATCTTGGATATCACCGAAGCGGAGATGCAGAAAGGTTTCTGTGGCCCCTTGCGCTCCAAATTGCAGATGGATCGTGAATACGGACCTGGAGGATGGAGATTCCTTGAACGGTTCCTGGTGGTCCAACCTGATGGAAAAAAGCGGGTTATCGACAATGGACGGAAAAGCGGCCACAATGTTCACACACAAATGCATGAAACGATCTCCACAGTGACCGTTGATTTTGTGGCGACAGTGGCACGCATGCTTTGTGACCGCATGCAAGCACCAGTTGAGCACATCTCCGATAAATATCCTTGGTGTGCTATGCGCCTGGGCACTGATGACCTGCCTGACGCCTACAGGGGGCTACCTGTGCGGGATTCCCATCTGTGCTACTCCAACATTGCCATCTTCGTCCCACAGGTTGGTTGGAGATTCACCACGCTTTATGGCTTGGCATACGGATTGGAAGCAGCTGTGGTAGCCTTTAACCGGTTCCCACAACTTGGAGTAGCCATTGCGCGTCGCTGCTTACTTAGCTGTTGTGCCGCCTACTTCGACGACGAATTGTCCGTCGAGTTCATCCGTGATGCCTGCATCTCCCAACGAGGCCTCAAGATGGTGTTTGAGTATATGGGTGCACCTCCACAACCGGCCAAATGTTTTATGCCCTCGTACAACCGACACTACCTGGGCACATCTGTACACGTTGGTGACGCCCTCACTCTTGGAGTGGTGCGCTTCCAGCCCAAGACATCCACTCAATGGAAAGTCCTAGCTCGGCTCCAACATGCCGTGGACACCCAATCGTTGGATCGTGACACAGCCGGAAAGCTACGTGGAGACCTTAATTGGATGTGGTCCATGTGTGCAGGCCACATTGGCCGTATTGCAGGTCCAGTTTTCACTGCAAAGCAATCGTCAGAGTCCCCACATTTGGACAACATGCAGGTCGTTACACTACAGTTGTTGATTGACATTGTCAAACATGCTCCCCCACGTGACATTGTGGTGGCAGGCCCTCCTCAACCAGTGGTCCGTGTGTATTCTGACGCTAGCTTTGAACAAGGTGTATTACGCCTTGGATGGATCATTTTCCATCCTGACCACCCACCTACTGGCGGTACCTGCATTGTCCCCCAGTCCACGTTAGATTCCTGGAAGACCCGGAAACAACAAATTTATCCAGGGGAAGCTCTATCAGCTTTGGTTGTCCCGCGCCTTCACCCACATTTATTCCTTGCAGCGGATGTCCTGTGGTTCATCGATAATGAAGCGGCTGTGGCCAGCTTGATCCGTGCAAGCAGCCTCCAACCTGATGTGCATCTCATTTGCCTTCTGGCTCACGCATGGATTTTTCGACAAGGTACCAGAATCTGGTATGAATGGATTGACAGCGCTAGCAATCCTTCTGATGGTCTAAGCCGGGACGGAATCCACGATGTCTGGACCTTGCAACAGGGATGGGATATTAATGAATACCCATTTCCCTGTGATCTTTTGCCAGATGCATTCTTTTCCTCTTTGTTAGCCTCGTTATTTTAAAGTGCAGTGGGTTATGAAATACTATGGGTGTTTGTCTTAGTGTCTTCGACCTATCAAATCTGGTATGTGTATCCCACCTATATGGTTTGGATCACAACCGTGACCCAGTGTTACTTTGTACCACTGTGTATGCACTTTAATACTACGAGCCGTTACCTCTGTGAGGTATGATGTCTAGCCAAGCTGTGAAAAAGATATGCAGCGGCTACTGAACCTTGATTCATTACAACCCAACTGTTTCTTAAGTTGCAAGGGTGAATGGTTGGTTGGGAAGGGACTCCCTTGCAATATGAAACATGTTTGGTTTGTAACTGACCAATCTTGTGCCACTTTTGGCTCAAGATTGGTCCTTCTTTTTGTTTGTCCCACCCTCCCTCCCTTGATCCCCCCTGCGGGGTGATAGGGGGAAGGGTTTACATTTGGGAAATGCAACACCACCTTCCTTTCTTTCTGTTGGTATGGGTGTTTGTCTTAGTGTCTTCGACCTATCAAATCTGGTATGTGTATCCCACCTATATGGTTTGGATCACAACCGTGACCCAGTGTTACTTTGTACCACTGTGTATGCACTTTAATACTACGAGCCGTTACCTCTGTGAGGTATGATGTCTAGCCAAGCTGTGAAAAAGATATGCAGCGGCTACTGAACCTTGATTCATTACAACCCAACTGTTTCCTACTCAACCTATACCCAACTTCTACTCTACCACTACCTCTACCTGTACCCCTACCGCTTCTACTCAGCTCTACTCTACTCCCCTCTACTCTATTCTACTCTACTCTACTCTCCTCTACTCTACTCTGCTCTGCTCTGCTCTACTCTCCTCTACTCTACCTCTACTTTTCTCTGCTCTGCCATCTTCTCTAGTCTACCTCTACTCTACCTCTATGCAGGTGCCGGCTGGACACAATGATCTCTGGGGTAGTGAGAATGTGACTTCATGATCTCTTAGGGCTAGTGAGAAGGTGACTTCATGATCTCTTAAGGCACATGCCAACTGGACACAATGATCCTTGGGCGAGTGAGAATGTGACTTCTTGATCTCTTAAGGCACATGCTAATGAAAATAAAACCATCCGTAACTCGGAGTTTCTCTACGAAACTTCCTTTGAACATATATGCAATTTTTCGTCTTGTCTTACATACAGAGAGTCTATACTTCTTTGGTTGTCCGATGCATGTGCAGGTTTGACAGGTGGTGTAGTCGGGTTATGCCCCAGATCACCTGCGATTTTTTTCTCTGCGAGGCTTATGATCAGGGTCTTTTTCGGTTCCAAGAACCGCGGAGCAAACCCAACCCCAACGTTCTGTCGAAGGCACGGCTTGTGAATTGTTTCTTGGGGGAGATTGTAATTTCCCATCCTGATTCAGAAAATTTCGCCGATCTGAAAAACCTGGCTTTTGGTTGCATGGGGCCCTCTTTTGAAGTGGTGAATTCGGATTATTGTCACTGGGATTCACTTGGCCAGTAGTGGATGAAATGTCAATGTGGTGAACCACCAGGCCATGAACGATCATCCTAAAGCCTTGATGGACATCATCGATGCTGAAGTGGATTGCACAGGGCCAAGGAAAGAAACCGAAGAGATCATGGAACCACGAAGGGCCATGGGTCTGGCTAGGAAGTGCCGAGTTATTGGGTATCACGGTATCACGGTATCACTTGGGGAGACCACTTCTATCATGGTGAGTTGCAGAAATGTCACATCCCATCTTCAAATAAAACTGGAAGAAAGCTGAAGACTAGGCCATTGAAATATCAAACATCTGCTAAGTCTTATTGTCCCCATCATCCCCATGAAAAACACAAGTATTTTATAGTATTTTATCGTATGTTCAATTGTTAAATCATCTCAAATCCCCAATATTGTATCTGTGTTTAAACATCACATATACAAACATATGTATACTGTATATATATATATAACATACACATGTATATACAAAATGCCAATAAACTGGCTGGTTGAATAAACATGAATCCCAAGTCTTGTTGGCTTTTGGTGCCTGCTCGCCATCTAAGTGGGATTTTCCGAGGTGAGCCCTCCATGTCGGCGCCCAACGACTTCCGGCCCAACAGGGCCATGAAACGTTCCACAAGAACCTCTAAGGTGGTGAGGAGGCACCCTGCCAGTGTGGAATGGAATGATCAACCATATAACATGTCTTAACATGTCTTAACCATGGCACATATCTTTGGATAAATTTGAACCACCTCACCTGCCATATCACTGGAATTTCCGGGTTAGTAAGGGCAATGGTTACAGTAAATCATCCTCATGGGAGGCCTTGTTTCATGTTTTCGAAATTACGAATAATCGATCTAAATTTCTACCGTGATCAGGTGAAATGGTTTTATTACAGGGATGGTCATAGAGCCTTCAAGTCTGGATGACTTGGGTCTATTGTGTAAGACAGCCAAAGATTGTCTAAGTCCATTGAATCATTGAATCTATTCAAAAGATCGACCTCACTGCAACGTCACTGGAATGATGGTTAGGATTGCGGTGAACTATTTCAAGAATGGCCTGAATTCAGGTTGGTAAATTATTGTAATTTGACCAGATATCTTCACCAACAAAAATAGCAATGGGCACAAAACCCTGGCACCGTGCTGTTCGCCCCAAAATCTTCCCCAAATGTGGGGCCCACAGAATTTTTTAGCCCTAAATGGGAATTTAATATGTTTTAATGTAAGATTTAAGCAACGATGGCCTTCTTGAAAACTAGGGCCGTCCAATGATCAATTTCTGGAAACGGCAAACCCATACGAGTCAATATATGTGTTCACAATTTGACAACACGGACGGGGAATAAACACGGGTGTTAACAGTTTAATATCATTACTGACCAAAGAACATGAAGAGCGATACAACCCACAACAGCTCCCGATTTTAGCCATTGAACAGGGGATTAAAGTGATTAAAGCTGCAGAAATCGAATGCCTCTAGTGATCCAACCAAAGACATTCACCCAGTATGACCTGTCTGCACCAAAGACACACCAGCCCCAAAGATCCGTGTCGGTGCCAGGACAGGGGTCTTCAACTCTACAGTCTATCGTGACAAAGTCATGAAGGATAGCACCAGGCCAGCTGCACTTCCCTGGTGATATCTGGGTTTTGCATATATATCCACGATAATCACTATCTAATCCATTATGAGCTCCATGATTTTTATGCAAATTTACACAGCCTGCTTTTGCGAGGTGAACTTACTAAGACATTTCATGTGGCTGCCACAATCATCACAGTACTTCCCGATACCCTGAGCCATTGCTGGGGACACCTGTTGCTGTCCCAGGTTCGTTCTTGGTGGCAACAATGCTACAGTGGAAACCCAGAAGTGCGGACCTCTGTGCTTTCATGACACTCCGAGCTAGTAGGACTAGAAAGGGCACTTTCTCCCAAAGGATACAGGGCAAATTACGAGAACCCCCACCATGATGATTTACAGTCAGGACATTGTTTCCGCCATGGAAAATCACCATTTCAGCGAACTGTTGAAGCAATGGCAGAGATTTTCCAGTAAACTCAGTAAACCAATGACTGCCAATGCCCCTCAGAAATGTGCCAAAGACACTGGGACCTGCTTCCGCCTGCCGTCATTGCGCGCCAGTGCGGCAGCATCAACCATCCAGAATACATGGAGATCCTGGCACAAGTACCTGCAGGAGAGCTCTCGAACCTTTGATGGATATGGACCATGGCACCCATGGCATCCCCTGCGTTCACAGTAGAGCTGGGATCAATCTGGATCTTCAGTCGAGAGTCGTATGGTTTGGGGGGTCATCTCCGAATGGACAGGACAACTCCGAGTGGATGACGGTGACCTGGATTTGTGCGACCATGATCCAGTCGCACTGGAGGTCTGTAGCTCAAAGCGAACAAGGATTGGGGACAGCCGACAGCCCAAAGGATTTGTGTAAAGTTTTGGGTGGTCAAAACCAGCCAAAAACGACTAGGCCATTTACTATGAAAACCATTGGGATGAAGGTCCATAACCACAGATCACCGAGATCATGGGATGTATCCAACCAAATGGGGCACTTCTCGTATAGATAATATGATTCTATGATATACTACTACACTGTCTGAAGAAACATCCAACTTCAACTACGCAATTTCAGCAGCGTTCGGAGGGTCCCCACAAAACTACCACAACTGCGCCCAATTTTTCTCGCTTATCTAGTTAAAGTCGTTTCCCAAGCTATCCTCTTCTATTTCCAAGCTATCATCGAATCTGGGGGTGCCGGAAATGTCCAAAAGGTTTCACATCCACCAGTGGAGTTCGGCTGAAATGAAAGCATTTTGTCATATTTTGTCATGTCAATTGAAAATTTCTGATGGCCAAAGATCGAGACGCATGGTATCCCAATCAAATGCTATCTATGGGGCTGATTATTTTTAGCAGTTGCAATTTGGACACTATGCCTCTAGCAGCTCTCTCTCATTTGCATTCGGCAGTGATGCATCGTGCACTTTGCGTTTTGTTCTACTCATGAGGGGCGTTCGCATTTGGCTCCTCCGAAAACGCTGAAGTGGCTCTTTGTAGTGTCAGGCTTCTCATGTGTAGCGATGTTTTTTGGGCCCTGATTTGCCCACAGGAATCTTGCCTCGAGTTTTTTCCCCCCTCTGAAGGAAGGTTTTTCCTTGATGAATTGTGGAACTCCACGTTTCGCTCGTGATCACTCAGACATTGAAGATCACAATTTTGGGTGAGTCATCTCGAAATTCGAAGATCCAATTTACCCTCTGGTAAACTAACATAACTATGGAAAATAACCATTTTTAATGGGAGAATCCGCTATAAATGGCCATTTTCAATAGCTATGTTTGTTTACCAGAGGGTATCCAATTTATCCAATTGTTTTTCGCCCAGGTTGGCCAGGTTGTTTTTACCCATGGCACTTCGGTCTTTCCTCCCAGTGAGGTCATATCATGTCCGACGGGTCAAGCTGGATAAGATGATCACCAATGTTCAGGTCGCGTTGACGGATTGGTCTTCACCAATTGTGGAACTGAGCACGGATAATGGAAGATGAATCATGGTCAAAGTTAAGCTAGGCTCTTGATCTTTTGTTTCATTCCTGTGGATGAAACATCTTCCAATTTTAGGTGAAGCACCATGAAAATAGTTAAATGAACATCTACAGTCTTTTTTGATACCAGTCAAGCATATTCTTGTAGACCCACTGTACAAGTTCACCAGATGAGCAATAAGGCTACATAGTGTTTTCATCGTACGTCTTCAGGATGTTGGTCGTAGCGGCCAAAGAATTGGTCAAAACTCAATGATCTAAGGACGGGTGAGTCATATTCGATATCAAATGGCAGTATATAGTAATTGACCGTTGTTCAATTCATTTATTGCTACTAAATTCTCCACACATAGAGGACTCATTATATAATCTCCCATTTGTTGCTGGTTCCTTCTCCCCCTATTCGTTGTTGCTTATAATCTCATTGATTGATAGTGGCTCGATTCCCCATTTGTTGGTTGGTGAAAGTTCGCATGGGTCGATGGCAGCCCCCCCAATCTGCAGATGAACCAATTCCTTCCTGTTCACATGAGATACCTTGCTCGATAGCTTGGATTGATATTAGATTTTTTGGGAAAGATATTTCAGGTTCCAGTATCAGTATATTGTAGTATTGTATCAATATTAGAAGATATTAGAAGGGGAAATGATGCGGAATCCATATTTCTGACTTTAGGAACAGGTCCGATACCGAACCAGACCCCATGGAAGTTGCTCCAAAAGCTCCGAGTTTTCTGGGTAAATCTCCAATTTTTGGTGCAGCCCCGGTGGGTTTTTTCCGTTTTGAAGCCTTAGGTTTTGTGCGGAAAATCTGCAGCACCCCCCAATGTTGTGGCTAAAAATCATGATTTCCCGGTAGATTTTCCCTTGAACAAATCCATTTTTAGGATGTTAAGGATATGAAGCACATTTTTTGTGTAGATCGATCGATCAAATGGATGTGTTTGAAAATGTGTGTGCAGCTTCTAAATAGCCGTTGAATATCATTTAATAGGGAAAATGATGATTCACATTGATTCAGCATCAAATTTGGGGTAGCCTAATTTCAGACACACAGAAATCATGAGTTGTCGCCAGAAAGTGATGCGCGGCGTCCTGGTTCGCCGCGCCATGCGGCAGCACCGCTCCGCTGTGCTGATTCAAAAACGAGACTTGGTCCGAGCGGGGATCTAAACAGCGTGGGGATACAATGGGATACATATAAAATGATATGTATGTAATATATCTCTCTGCATCTAATCTATAGCTAAGTACATATACGTATATAATATAAAAAACATACATATAATATGCCGTTGTATCTATATATATATATATATCTTACAATCTTATACATATATATATATATATACATATATATACATATAAGAGAGAGAGAGAGAACGAATGTCACGAGCAAAAACCATTGCTGGCGAAGTTATTTTCACATATCAAGCACCAAAAGGATCCAAAAGGAGTATAATGGAACTATAATGGAATATCTGAGTAAACTAGTGGGTGAATGGTATAGGTGCTTCCATCGTGCATGTTTCCAGTGATGTTAAATTCGCCCTGGTGGATGGCCCTTTGGAAATCCCATCGATCATGGCCTTTTGAAGCTCTGAGGGACAGTGGGCATGTTGACAAGGCTCTTGGCGGCTCCGGTACCCTCAGGTAAACTAACATAACTATGGAAAATCACAATTTTTAATGGGAAAATCCACTATTTCTATGGCCATTTTCAATAGCTATGTTAAATTACCAGAGGGTAATCTTGGGAAATCAGCTCCAATCCCATTGGCTTTCCACAATGGCCTGATATTAGGTTTCAGGGGCCTGGATCTCTGGAGTGCATGCGAGCATGTCCCCTGAAACTGGTACTGGCTATGCAGCAGGGGTCTGGTCACGGCAGGGTTCAAGCAGTCAGATATGGACACATGCGGGCACTAGTTCAAAGATAGACATGCATGAATAGAAGCAAACACAAGAGCACATGTTTGGCTCTAGATTATAGATCATATAGATCAAGATTTCAGACCGATTGTGGCCGAGAGATTGTGTCACTTCGAAAGTTTGGACAGCTTGGCGACCCCGATATGATCGTTTCGGCTCGAGCGTGGCGAAGTATCGCTAAAAACGAACAGCTTAACACTGCCAATGGTCGCGAATGGCCCCAGATCCCAACAAAATCTCTCCCTGACCAGCTTTTGATCCAGTCACAGCGTTTTCAGATTTGAATCTCTCGAAATGCCTTGTGGATCTCCTGTTTGGCAAGACTTGTAGATCTCCCCAAACAGCGGGGTTCTCGTCTCCTGGATGGTGCGAGCAGCGGGTTCGGCAGGCTCTCAGGGCGTACCTTGGTCAAGTACTGCATCTGCTGCACTTCTCAAAGCCCAAAGTTTAGATCACTTAGGGGTCTCCGAAAAGATAGAAAAGTGTTTCAGCTTTCAAGGATGGTGTATGTGATATTTACCTCTTCATTTCCAGGTAAGTAACTTTTCTATCTAGTCACTATAGTCTTTTGGCGTTACCATTCCTTTGATTTCATGCTGGTGCAAATGCTTTCAGAATGCCCTCCGACTCCGGTTCAACTCCACTATCAGCTGACGTTAGTCCGTGGATTTTGCATGGATCCATGGCATAGAACTGGGAAAATTGGACACATCTTTGGGGAACACTTAGAATATCTTAGCATGCATAGAAACTGACTATAGTTTTAGGGATGGATCAAAACCTATGCCCGTTATTTTTTTTTGGGGGAACATACCCAGGGCCAGGATATACCCAGGATCCTGGGCTTTGACCATGGGACGTTTTGTCCAGGTCTCAACTTTGACTTCCTCGAAGCCCTCGGAGCAACCCTCGGTTCGTTCGCCCAGATTTTGGGCGCCTCATGAGATGGTAAAACAAAAACGTTGTGTTGTTATACATGAGAAAGCCACTTGATATCACTTGATAAAATGATCATTTGTAATCCGCCAAAACCATGTAAGACTGTAAGATGGGGATGCTATGGCTCAAAGACGATTTTTGTTTCAGATGGAAACAACGAAAGACAAGGCTTCGAAGGAAAGCCATGAACAGTGGCTGAGGCATTGATGGCGCTCCACAGGAACACAGATGATCCCCCACAGGAGCAATGCAAATCTTGGGGGAGCAAAGCCTCCGGGCACAAGAGGCCTCTCCAACCATGAAATTCAAAAGCCAAATACCATCTTTTGGGCTGATGAAACTACATTTACCAGCTATTTGGCAGTTTCCCACGGGATTCTCATGGCTTTTGACCCATTGCCATATCAAAAACAACAGTAGAACCACTTCAATCTGACATAATCTGACAATCATGAAATCCAGATCTGGGAACATGTCCAGGAGGGACGCGTGGGTCGCAGCGTCGCGCGCAGCACGCCAACCACGAAGGTGCCTCTGGGAAATGTAAGTCACCTGCCAGGTTTCAGGTTTGCTTGGGATGCGCTACAATTCCTGTGGGAATTTCACAGATTATGCAACAGTTTACCTTCAACAGAACATTTTTTGGGGTTTCAACGGATTTTCAATGTATTTTCTGGATCACTCTCGTGATTTCGCATGTCAAACCGGACGTTTTTGTGGACGTCTATGCCGAGTCTATGCTTGGTGCAGGATCGCCGCACAGCTGTGTCGCCCTTTCGCTCGCTGCCTGAATTGCATCCGCATGAGGCAATGGGGGTTGCTGTGAGCTTATCTCGTTCAGGTCCTGATGATTGCAGTGGTCCATGCTGTTGCTGCTGGTGCTGCTGTTGTTATATAATGTTACATAATGTTACACAATGCTATATAATTAATATTAATTAATGTTATATACTGTTACACTCTGTTACATTCACAGACTATTACATACTATTGTAGGAGTAGGAGTAAGAGTAGGAGTAGTAGGAGTAGGAGTAGTTGGAGTAGTTGTAGTAGGAGTAGTAGGAGTAGGAGTAGATGGAGTGTAGTCCATTGTAGTACTAGCAGTAGCAGTAGTAGCAGGGCCGCTGCTGCTTCTTCTGACAAATTGACTATGTTATTGAGGGCTACACTTGACCACAGATTATATATGAGCCCTGGTTCGTGGACCTTAGGGTTTCCTGATCGTCACGGGGTGCCCTCCCTAACTGATGAACCAAGCCGTATGTCTGTTGCCAGGTGGAACTTCGAGTTGCCGTCAAGGCGGGGGTGGTAGATCCGACTTGGGCACCAACTTTGGCAGACTTGGATATTTTTTTCTGCGAAAATGGATTCGCGCCCCTATGAGTCGAAACTGAAACAACAATAACTGGTACAATCGCACCTGGTTTATAGGTGTATTTCATCCCATTTTTAATTGGTGGAATCCTATCACTGTTGGCCCTAGCTTGGGTCACATCATGTCACATCAGTGTTTTGCGGCATGGATATGTCCACAACAGGATTGGATGGGGTGGGAGGCAATCTGCTGAGATGGTCCTGATCTACTGGGGTCAAGGGCCCTTGTGATCTGCTGAAAAACGATAGTTGCGATCATGACTTTTCCTAGTCCTGTTTCCCAATCGCCAACGGGTCCCTGGGATTACAAGCGGCCCAGACCACCAGTGAGTCATTGATAACTGGGATGCTCACACTATATCACACGTTTTTTTTTTTGATATTTTTTTGTATATAATTGTGGAAATGTCCGGCGAAATGTGTTTGCTCCCAAAATACCTGCCAAATTAAGTAGCATAAAATTACTTTGACACTTTGTCCCTGTGGGGTCTGTGGGGTCTTTATCCAAGAATCTGCTGTGTTGGCCGAGGATCTTTCCAGGGATGTGGCGCCCGAAAAGTTTCGGTCGAAAGCCAAAAGTGTGGGCGGCTTTGTCTTCGGGCAGCTTGGCGACGTTTTTTTGGTCGCCATACCGGGGGATACACACACCCACAAGTTGGATGCCAGATTAGAAAGTTTAATGAAGCTGTCCTTCGAGAGGAAACATGAGGAAACAAAAACCATGTAAAGCCGCACAGACCATATTTTGGCGACAGCAAAACCAAGGCTGTTGGTCTTCCCACAAGGGACTAAGAGTGCTCCAGAGCACGCGAGGAAGAATCGTCCAGGCCGCAATGCAACGTTTGCTGCTTTTGGTGGCTTTATCATTTTACGAGTTTTTTTTTTTTACCAGTAGAAACGAAAGGGAGATTCGAGATGCCATGAAAGATACAACCAAGGCAAGTGGTCAGTGGTCGGTGGCTTCGAATTCATTTCTTGCTTTCCATTCCAAAAAAGTGGGGTGATGGGGTGCTGATTCACCACTGAGCTGCTAGATGTGGTCGGCGGATCGCAAGGAAAGAAAGATGACGATAAGGACAAGGACAAGGACAAGGACAAGAAAGACGAAAAAGATGATGAGAAATCCAAGGTGAATCGAACCAAGAAGGACCTGACTTGAAACTCCAACGGAAGTCAGCCGGTACATGATCTCATTGACTTGATCCATACCCAGTTGGCGAACCACCCAGAAGTCGTTGGATCAAGGAATAAATAGAGGTCAAACCCGGTCAAACCCTCATATTTCAGTGGTTTTCATTTTCACCATTTTTTAAATCATGTTTTATCCATGTTTTCCACTAGAGGCTGCCGAATAGTCATGGAAAACCCTTGGTCTCTGGTCAAGGATCCCTCTGGCCATCTCCAGGAGAAAGAAAAGGTGAAGGCGGCCCTTTTGAAGGAGGTTCCCAAAGAGAAGGACAAAGACGCAGACAAAGACGATGCGAAGAAGGACCTGAAGATTTTGGGGCCCATAACTTAGGCCATTAACATTTAAGAACATGTCACAAACATCATGGAAAACATGAGGTTTTAAACAAAAACCTACAAGAAGCAGGTGAATTTTGGCGTTTTCTCCCAACTTTTTGTTTTCAGCCAAGGTATTGGTTTCTACCGTGCACTATAAGGCTGTAGGAAATCTCTGAATAGTGAATTTGGGCTCTTAAGTCCATTTGGTTTTCTTAGGGGGAAATAGGCCTCCGGCTCGAAACATGTTCGACAATTTGTGGTGAGCCCAAGAACGCAGGACAAGAAGGACACGCGATGGATCTCTGCATTTGTCGAAGCACGTCCTACTGAAGACTATCCCGCCCACTGGTTCTTTGAAGATGTGCAATTCCTGGTGTCCTTGATCAATTTCCAGGACCGCTGCCGCACTGCTTAGGCACAGTTGGGCGTTAAACCATGGCGGTGCCTGTTCTGGCCATCTTATTGCTGTTTTTTTTCCCCTGCAGTCAGGGTTGATTGATTTGCTCCGACTCTGCCAAAAATGGCCGAAATCGGCTGAAGGTGGGATAGTGAAGCCCCAAGGATCATACGGCTGCGCATGTGATACTCGAAAACCTTGAAAGGATCTCAAAAAGTCCATTGTAAAGCACGACAAGCACACCTTTTCCCCAGTGGAGTCATCTGATGGGAAGGCTGGATAGCAGGTGGCTGTGAGACGCATCTCTTCCAGATACAGATTTGCAGATTTGGTTTTAGTTTACAGATATTTTCAGCCATAGGAATGGCAGGATGATCCCCAATGACTTTCACACATACATATACATATATAATCATATATATATATATATGTAATTTTTGTGGGGGGTTGAAATCATCAGTTAGCATTGATCCCTGCTAGAAGAAGTCTTGCACTGCTTGGCATTCTTTGCCCTGCCAGCTTGGTACTTGAGGACCTTGCCCTCATTCGTAGATTTTGTTCCCGGCCAGAGTCATCCCTGATGATGGCCATTTTGCGATTTCCTATCTTATTACCCACTGAGGTTTATACATATAGTATATATAGTTCTATAGTATATACATATATACTTATCATATATATATAAATATGTACAGCCAATCTCTCTCTCTCTATATATATATATACATACATATTTTGGAAATAGCTGTAATATATATATATATATATTCATAGCCATTATATATATATATTATACAGCCATGTATGATATGTATATACAGTACATATATCAATACATACACATATCCATATATGATATATATATATATGTATATAGATATGCAGCCATAATATACATATATAGTTAGAATATATATATATAGCTATAATGTATATATATATATACGCGGCTGCATACTATATATATATAGTATAGCATAATGTATATATATATATATTTTCATGATATCATTTACAGTTGTATTGCATATTTGTATCTGTATGTATTGATCTCCTGCAGGCCATAGACCGCGGTTGGCACGACTTCGTCCACTGCGACGAAGTCACCTTGCGGACCAGCGGCTTTGTGGATTCGAAGGATGACACCGTGTGCTTTCGTGCCTCGGATGGTGATATCCCCATGAAGCCATGATAATCTCAGTCTCATTGGATTGCAATTGTAATGTATCCAGATCCAAGGAATCCATAGTTTCCATGGATTTTTTTGGGGGACCCGTGATGGGACCTTCATTTCCCACAATCTTCCCACACCATTGGAGTTTCTTATGGGAGTGTGGGAATGGGGGTCCCATCACTGGGGGTCCTTTCTGTTTTTGGTTTCCAAGACGGAGCCCATCACCGGGAGTTTCACGATTCCTACGGCTTGTCTCAGGTGCCTCTGTCTACCTTGCAGGGGCAATGAAAGTGAACTCCAAGACAAAGTCGAGGTATATGAGCCTTGGTATCTTGGAAAGCAGCTGGTCGATTCCAAAACTCGCCATGTGTTGGCTGATTCATGAAAACCAAAAAATGCATGGCATGCCGGCATTTATTCTTATATTCTTTTGTCCCCAAATGGACATCATTGTCTTGGAAAGCAACTTGTCTTTTTTATTACTTTCCAGTCATAATCACTTGCCTTCTGTACAGGAGTCAGAGAAACATTTGTTCCAGCGTAACTGGCTAGATATCAGCATGTCAACTTGCTAAACGTTGCCTTTGCTGAGGTAAGATCGATCCTGCTGTGAATGAGTGCCTTGGCATCATTTCGGGCTGAGATGAACATCTTGCAGTTGGAACTAGAGCATTTTGCAGTTCCAACTCAGATTCAGCGCGATTTGATCTGAGGAAAGTTCCAAGATATTTGAATAGTCTCGTGCAAGTCTGGTACCACCTCGGGCTCTTCAGAAATGTGGGGACCTTAGATCTCAGTTGGTCAAGGTTTGCTCGGGATTGGCGCATTATTCCATTTCTTGGATCGTTAAAGTGTGGGGAATGTGGCCACGGATGCTGGGTTGTGGCCGTTGTGGCCATGAAGCAAGGACCTGGGAAATGCGGGTTGTTCCTGTCGGTCTCTTTTCACGGTCTCTTTTTAAATTGAAAGGGTCCAGACATGTCGAAATGTCCAGAATGATCCAGGATTCTGACCGGTCTTCGTATCCTTCAATCTTTTCAATCTTCAACTTCCAACCCACATGACACGTCGCATGAAAAAAATTGCTTGTGAGGCCGCCTGGTGAGCGGTCAAGGGTGTGGCTGATTCCCAAAGTCATTCCACGACCTGTCACATGTTTCCAGTGATGGGATTGCCCCAAACATTGGCGGATCATCACTGGAAGTTCGAGACTATGAGATAGCTTTCAGGTGACCTGTGCTATGTGAAGAAACACCCACAGAATAGTGAACATTGCCCAATTCAGAAACTACACCCGATTCCGAGAATAGTTGTTGATGATTGATGATATGAATGATATGAATATGGGTGTGTCAAGAAGTGCCGGCTACCCAGGAATATCCCCAAATCCAATGTTTTGGACAAATGATTTTCCAGACGAGAATGGCCACTTTTGATAACTCTTGGGTACACCCCGTTTCGAATCATGGCCACATGTCTGCACCCTGGTATGATTGCGTTTGGACTACATCGTATGTACACATACACAACTACCGATATGGTTGTATTTTTGATATAGAGTAGAGTATCCCCCAGAAAGATGAAAAGAACGAGTTTCCAGGATGGTATCGTGTCTGGAGAACTTGGACCTCCCGATTGGTCAGGAAAAAATTGGGTGTCCGAAAATGGTTTTAGGGGTTATATAATGTTATATACACCCCGAACAATTACCATTTCAATGGCGATAGACATATGTAAAACTGATGATCAGCGATGAAAAAAAGGGGTAGCCCAGTTTCAGACAAATGAATTGCCCCTCCTATTTCTCAAGAGCCCCAAGTTTTGTGGACAAATGAATGCATGCTGCAGCGAATCGCAGCTCAAAGGCCATCTACTCCGCGTCCATCACTGGGCCAGGGCAGAAGAAAACCAGTGTGGCTCGGAGGGACCACTATCCACCAACTGGTTGGAGATCCAACATTTTTGCTTTCAAATATCGCGGCAGGGGATAAGTAATTCTATTTATCGATGTAATTGTATGTCTATCTGTCTATGTGTCTATCTATCTCTACACATATATATATATATATGGTCCCGGTCTGCGGCCCGGTACCTCCCCCCGTATGCTCGACACTTGGAGGCTATATCGCAAGCCAAGAGGCTATGCATCAATGCTGATCAAAAGAAAGCACAGCAAAACATAGGCGCAAAATGGACTCAACAAATTCCACGTCCTTCGGGGCGTGCTGGGCTTTTCCAAAAGCAAAGCAATGAGGCCGACAAGGCCGATGAGGCTAATGCAGCTCACGACGCCGATGAGGCCGATGGAGCCGATGAGGCTAATGCAGCTCACGACGCCGATGAGGCCGATGGAGCCGATGAGGCTAATGCAGCTCACGACGCCGATGAGGCCGATGGAGCCGATGAGGCCGAATATAAAGGAAGTTGCAGTTTTATAGCTACATCCATCGAGATACCTTAACCCATCTACCCTGGTTACATGCACAAGAAGTGGCGCCGCAAAATCGACGCCAAGCGTCAATGGCGCGTACCCCCCCCCCCGCCAGGCTACCCCCCAGCTACCCCCCGGCTACCCCCCCCAGACGGTGGTCCCCCCTCCCCGGTAGCCCAGCACCCTGTAACGCAGCATCAAGTGTCTGTGCAACTATGAGGGAAGGTCTTTTAACGTAGCACCAAGCCCAAACGTCTGTGCAAGTGTGCACGTACAAGAGAAGATCTTATAACCTCAAGTGCCCGTGCAAAAAAAAGAGAAGGTCTATTAATGTAGCACCAAGTGTCTGTGCAAGTGCAAGAGAAGATCTTGTAACGTAACATCAAGCGTCTACGGAAGTAGGAGAGAAGATCTTTTAAGTCCTTATAAGGTTGCATCAACTGTCTGCGCGTGTACAATAGAAGGTCATGTAACATAACATCAACTGTCTGTGCATGTACCAGAAAGGATCCTATAACGTAGCAGCAAGGGTCTGCGCAAGTAGGAGGGAGGTACTTCAACGTAGCATCCAACAACTGTGCAAGCACATACATACATACATACATACATACATGCATACCTACATACCTACATACCTACATACCTACATACCTACATACCTACATACCTACATACCTACATACCTACATACCTACATACCTACATACCTACATACCTACATACCTACATACCTACATACCTACATACATACTTACCTACTTACCTACTTACCTACTTACCTACTTACCTATTTACCTCCATACCTACATACCGGCATACCAACATACCTACATACATACATACCTACATACCTTCATACCTACATACGTACATACATACATACCTACCTACCTACCTACCTACCTACCTACCTACCTACCTACCTACCTACCTACATACTTACACACATACATACGTACAAACATACTTACATACCTACCTACATACCTACATACCTACGTACCTACATCAACTACATACCTACATACCTACATACCTGCATACCTGCAGACCAACATGCCTACATACCAACATACCTGCAGACCAACATGCCTACATACCTACATACCTGCAGACCTACATACCTACATACCTACATATATACTTACCTACCCACACACTTACATACACACATACCAACATACATACATACAGACAGACAGGCAGACAAACATACAGACATACATACATTACATTACATTACATTGCATTGCATTGCATTGCGTTACATTACATTACATACTTACTTCCTGACTTACTTACACACACAATCATACATACATGCGTGCATGCATGCATACGTACATACATACATGCGTAGAAACATGCATACATACATACATACATACATACATACACTACATACTACATACACTACATACACTACATACACTACATACACTACATACACTACATACACTACATACACTACATACACTGCATACACTACATACACTACATACACTACATACACTACATACACTACATACACTACATACACTACATACACTACATACACGGGAAAAACGATGGTTCCACCAAGGAAATTATCTATGTATGGTATGGTTGTTTTTCCGCATTATATGGCAAACTTAGTGCCATAAATCATATCTCTGCATATCTGCTTGAGGGAGAAGAACTATAAACCCAGGGGGTTATGGCATTGGGTTCACCAAATAGTTGCTGAAAGGTTTGGTGTCTTTTCTTTACTGTTTTGAATCGACCTTGTCAAGTAGAAGTGTGACGATTTTGAAAGGTGATTCAGCAGATTTGTGTATCTCTTAGGCTAGGTACCTGTTTTTTTGCCCTTTGTATAAGGAAAAAACGATTTTTGGGATATCCTCCGGGATTATGTGGTCGGCCATTTAAGGGATACCGCAAACCGTTTGCATTAGCAGATGTGGGTATGTTGAAGAGTTGGGGAGCCCAAAGCCATTGGTTGCCCTGCTAAAAAGACCCTGAAGTGGTGGTGTTGGGGCCCCCAAAGCTATACACAGGTGTTTGTACCCATCTAAGGGACTTTAGATGTTGAGCCATATGAGTGCGTTTCAAAAATGGCAACTTAAAGGAACATAGACGATGCCTCCTTTTCCCCCCTTTGTTAGACGGCGCCATGAGGTTCTTCCGGCACTGCGGGAAGTCTTTGTCCGGCTGCAGGTGCTGAGTTGATGATTTTTCCGGCAGGTCTGTTACCAATGGGAGAATACAAGACCTCAACACCGAACGGAAACCCGGACCAATTTTTGGAAAATACAATATAAAATCCATAAAAAATCCTAATTCGATACCCAGCAACAAACATCCTACTGTAGAATAAAGGGTCAAAATTTGGAAGTGGAACAGCTTTGGCAAGGCCCCTCACTTCACAAGCATCAAACACCTGGGATGATCATGGCACTGTCAACGCTGACGCTTAAATATGCTTAAATGGCATACGCTTTAAGGCGTGGTGGCACCCCCTTAAAACCAAAACCGTGCTTGTATCCCTTGGCTGCACTATCAGATCATCCATCGGAGTCATGGGCTACAAATGATGGCTAGCACAAAGCTGACATTGGCTACTATCACGGCTGATACACCCTGAGGTTTGATGTATCTAAAGCCACATGTGTTGTTTAAGATATCCATTATGCATTGCATCCTTTGCAAACTTTGAGAGATGTGGGTACGGTCAAACCACGTGGAATACGCCGTTGTTCACCCTACAAAAGCTGGGATAGGTCTGGATGTTCATACAGTCATACGGTGAACATCAAAATAGCTGATAATGGCTGGTAAATGGATGTCCATCCCTTGAAAATTGTATTTATAGATATTGATCCATCATAGCCATATGGTACTGTATATCAATGTACATCATGTATATCTAATAGGCAACTTGATCCCCATTGTGCCACTGCCAGCACCGCACATTGGCGGCATCCTGCTCACCATTGTGCAGCGCCTTCGGAAGAAAAACCTGGTCCAAGATGTGCAAGGTGCGCGGCCAGGGGGGCATGGCTGTTCTCTGTGGCTTCAACATCAGCCATCAAAAGGGGCTTCAAATTTCGAGTTCGATGTTCTTTGATCTAACATGATCTCACAAATACATACAAATACTATAGAGTTTCAGAGTTTCTCGTTTTTTTTTTTCGCATGGCATGGCAACCCTCCATTTCTCCAGGCCGACGCCGATTCCTTCTGCACCGAGATCTTCCAAAGCCTCCAAGCCGAGTTCATCCCCTCCGCGGAGGTTTTGAAGGTCGGTTTCCTCGAGATCCCCAATGGCGGGGTTCCAAACCCAACCATTTCATGGAGATTTTTTTTTTGGGATATGATATGATGGGATATATGTGTATATATATATATGTAAATATATATATGTGTATATATGTGTATATATGTGTAAAGACCTATTTTGATTTTGTTTCAAAACGGGCGAGTACACATTGATAGCAATTTGATGAGAAAACTATGATATGAACCATGGGGCTTAGGGGGTAAGTTTCAGGGAAGCAATGTAAGTCCTGTTGAAAAACATGCTTCTGGTAGCGACTCAAACCAATGGCTGAGAGGTGTTTTCCGTCCACTTGCCAAGCATTTGGCATTGTCGTGGAGCCCATGAAACAATTGCGAAAATGGGATTTGAAAGACTTGGAGTTTGGGGCATAGTCCCATTGCCTTAAACGACCCCAGTTCTCTGGTCCCAAAGATCTAAAAAAACCACACAAAACCTAGCTACTCTGCCAGGCGGAAGAGGCTGGAGCGAAGGCTGCTGGCAAGGCGAAGGCCAAGGCCAAGGCAAGAAACGCAGCTGAAAAAAAGGGGCAAATGTCGATATATTTAGATATATTTAGTGTGTATATATATATATACATACATATATACACATACATACATTGTATGCATACGTACATGTATATGTCGACGTACACGTATATACATGTACATGTACATGTACATGTATATGTAGATGTATATGTATATGTAGATGTATATGTAGATGTATATGTAGACGTATATGTAGATGTATATGTATGTCTATGTCTATATCTATATCTATGTCTATATCTCTATCTATATATCTCTATCTCTATCTCTATCTCTATGTATATGTATATCTCTATCTACATCTATATCTCTATCTCTATCTATATCTCTATCTCTATCTATATCTATATCTATATGCATATCTCTCTCTCTCTCTATATGTATATATATATGTAGATAGACACTTGGACACACGCGCACAATTGTTTGACATATTTTGATGCTATTTCACCGGCCGACATGAGATTCTTCAGCCCACTGGCATTTGGCTATTTTTTTTATCAGTTGCAACCTGCAGAGATGAGATCAGATAGGGGAAGCATCAAGGTTGCAATGGAGATTAACGGGATATGATGGTGATATGACGGGATAATTTCCTTTCCCCCGAACTACATAAACTAACAGTTTGACCCTTACAATCGCGATTTCTGCGTTCGGAAAAGTAGTCTTCCGACCCCCAACCCTTGGGAGTGTCGATTTGTTAGTTGAGTTAATGGTTGAGTCCAGATCGTGGTGGTCGAGAGAGTCTGTGGGATGAAAATGGTGGTGAGGGGAATCCCGATGACCACCACAGCGATGGCTTGGGATAATAAGTTCAACGTTCATGTTTCGAACTGTGGATCACCAAAGTCACCAAAATCTCAACGAAATCGTGTCGGCTCCCCAGTTTTGGTATAGTATTCCAGATCTCCCTTCGAGGTTTGAAACAAATCTAAGGTTCCTCCAGGATCCCACGGATTTTCCAGCAGTCAACATGAACAAATCCACATGGTGAATGTGAAGATGTGCGTTACTCTGAGTTTCACCACCCTCTATTCCTTCATTTTGATTCATTTTGCAGATGCTGGCAGGCCATTCCGCGAGTGGTGGAAGTGCCACTGGAGAACAGGGCCTTGTGGGAGACGATTCAGGAGATGTTTGAATTCGAGGTGTGGGGTCCTGGGTTAGAGATTTAGATCAGATTTGGATCAAGCGAGCAGTTTTCAATCACAGACCAGTTTTTCACCAAGCTTCTTGAAGTGTAAAAGAAACGGGTTGAAATTGAGAGTCTTGTCATCTGAATCTATTCCCAGGGCTTCAAAGGTTTGGGAGGAACCACTTGCTCTGGGATGCCAACACTCTGGTGCAGTTGTCTCCAAAGTTAATACTGTAGTTTGGGGATTCAATTTCGGCACGGCTCGATGGCGTAAAGTGCACAGGTATCGTACTCAATTTGTGAGCCATCCCCAACGATTAAGAGATCGTTCCGTCGGCAAGGAGATTTGGTCATTTTTCCTCGTGTTTTTTCTTTTGACTCTATGGATCAACCAATTCTTATCTGGTGGTTGGTGTTTTGTGAAGTGGAATTACGGGGATACCCCACAATGATATAAACATATATATATATATATATATAATATTTATATTTATATTTATATTTATATTTATATATTATATATATAATCCCCTTCCTACGGGAGGCCTGGAAAAACAACCACCAACCAAAACCACCAGTCGACCACTGGTTGAAGGGGCGTAACCATCTGACATCACCAGGTGGAGTGGATCGCGCAAGCCATCGATGGCGGAGATTTCTCTGATAGTCATATCTACCAGGGGCCTTGCTTTACCTTGGCCACTCGAAGGGCGCCTGTTTTGCCGTGGTGAGTTGGGAAAAACGAAATTGAAGTGGTAGATAACAATGCTATTAGCATACTTTTAGCATACTTGGTTGTTAGGGCTGGCCCGCCGGTGCTCCAAGGTTGTTCGAGGCTTCACCTGTTTGGAAGACACCTTGGACCACTACTTTTCTCCCAGAATTATCGAAGATGGTTCTGGTCTGCGCGTCAAGACCATGCGCAAGTTTCGACGAATGCTTCTTGGTGAAGAGCTATGATGGGACCATTGGGACCATTGGGACCAAGGTAACCCGAGACATTTGGAACGGTTTCTGGCGCGGTCCCAGCTGAGGCCCAATGTGCTGCAGTGGTGCCTCAAGAGAGGCGGGAGCTCAAAATGATTGCCTTCAATTCTGTGCTAATAATTCTAAACAATAAATCCTTGACACATTTTTTTTTTAAAACTCAATAGCTGAAAAGAGGACCATTTTGTGGCGCAGGTGACTATGACTGTGGCACCGGCCTCTCGGGCGTGACGGAAACCTTCCTGAGCTTCCCCAGACAAATCGACATGGGCAAGCACCTGGGTTCCCGCAAAGATCCAGGACGAATTGAGGATGAATTGCTATGAATTGAGGACGAATCATGATGAATCACCCCAGGTATTTTTATGCATTTTTTCTATTAGCGATGAAAAACCGATACATATATTTTTATGTGTTGGGCACAGTTTGCAAAAGTACCTGGTAATGGATATCATGGGATGCAATGGGATATATATATATAATATAATACATTCGGACATAATCAATGGGATATGGTATGGGGATGGACTGAAACCTTTTGTACCATATTTGGAGTGGATGAAGATCCATGGCCAGTAGCTATGCTGCTGTGAACAGAAGGGCACTCTGTGGCTTTCACCATCATCATTTCCATCACAACCTCACAACAGGCGTGATGGCTTATGGCATTTCCAGTTTGGGAGCAATGATGGTAATAATGATGATAAGAATAACAAGAACAACAGCAATAATAAACGTGCGATACCGATACTGTAAAAAGAAACCAATCAGAATAGTGATGATATAGTCATCAATTAGATACTGTAATAATGATAAATAGATGATTGCTATGTAATAATAGATAGCATTTTAGCACGTTGCAACTTCTAAAATTGGACTCGGCGCCAAAGGTACTCTGAAGGTGCGGGGCTGTACCACCTTTATGCTATCATGGTCGAGTGCGACGATCACTTTCTGTCCTATATCCGGCCAGAGATGGAAGGTGGGCCAAATGTCGGCAGTTGTACTGTGGGTGGTAAGCAACAAACATAAGCCCGAAGTAGGTACGATGTTCAATTGAGATCATGGTCACAAACATAATTCAAATATGGTCTTACTACTCCCATACTGTGGAGTTAAGAATTTCCAACGAGACCGAGACCTGAAAGTGGGATCTCTTCTTGGTCCACCAGAGGTCTTGTTCAACTTGAAGCCATAGTCAGAAGTCGGGTTGGTCCCAAGTTCCATGTGACATCCAATTGGAACATATTTCAAATTGCACACCCGGCAAATTGAACATGAAAACCTGAAAACTGTGGTCCCAAAGATTATTTGAGTACAGTGTTGGATTCCATCTTAAATTTACTGGATGTAACAAAGCTAAGTACTCAGCTTGACCACCAAAGTTTGAGTCCTCACCGGGTTTCTCAGGCACCATCGCACCCTATTGTTAGCGCTGGAATTTCCAATATCTTTTGTCCGAGTATTCCAAGTGATCAGCCAGTTTTTTTTCAAAAACAGAAATTCAGGTCAACAAAAACCAACAGGACTTGGCGAAAGTAATTTTTTATAACAGGTCAACAAAACATAACAGTTCATAACAAACCTCAAAATCCGCGTGATTCTCGGTCTCTCTGGGTCTCTCCGCAGCGCCAGGTGACCGGGGGCAATGGTACCGCTTCGACGAGCGTGAGAGCTCCTGCGCGGTCTCCAACGCCACGGCCGTGGACTCGTCCTTCGGTGGGGAGGCGGGCGGATGCCCCCTGGATGCCCTGGATGCCCTGGATGCCCTGGATGCCTTGTTGGTATCCGATGATGCAAAATGGCCATTTTAGGGTGATCATCAATGATCATAATGGTGTAAAACCAGTTATAATGGTGATAAAATGGTGATATGATCTGGTAAAAGTTAATCATCAACCATCATCATAAGCCAATTATCAACCATGATGATTATGATGATAATGTGGTATGTATGTATATATATATATGTATAGATATATAATATGTATCACCCACAGATGACGGTATTTTGATAGCTAGTTGTTTGCTGTAGAGGGGAAACCGGCGATTCTGGGTTCGAGCCACTTCATCCGGCCTCATTGGCTGACCGATAGATTAGGTTTTAAAAAGACGGGCATTTTTGCCGAACCTTCCCAAGGTTTCCACTTGCTAAGTAGCTTTGACAAGGAATTCAATGAATTCTTCAGCCCAAAAGACCACACATGGACCTGTCATTCCTAGGATCGCCATGTAATCAACGTACTCCCACAAGGTGGCTGGCATTTTCCGTTGATTTCGGAGATGTGGATAGAGAGGAAACCAAATCCCATGGAATCACATTGGGTTTGTTCATCAACTGATTCAGATCACTGTTTAGGAAATCTCTGCACAGGAATGGCTCTGCGTGAACTATTTGTACGGCCCCTCCGCCGTGCTGAAACGTCCCAGGGAGTCTCGGGCCTCAATGCTCATCTATGCCAAGGAGAAGTTGAGCAATGGGAGAAGTTGAGCCAAGTTAGTCGAGCCTAAAACTGTCTACCAGCTGAAACCCAGCGAATTCAGTTTCTGAAATCCTGTCATTCTATATTTATGTAAATGCTTGATATTCAGGATAGTATTGATAGTACAATTCTGAATTGGATGTTCTTTCGGGCACCAATCTTGCATGTCTTGCTCCAGCGAGGTTGGGGCCTTCAACACATGGGCCCAAATAGGTCTAGTTGCGCCCAATATGTAGCAAGAATGATGAAGCAAAGTTCAGTTGCCCTTGTGGATTTCCTTTTCATCTTCTGCAGTATGCCAAAATCAGTTTCTTCACACTGCAGAACAAAAGAAGATAGGGATCGGATGTGACCAAGATACATATTCCAGTCCTATATGTATTCTAAGAGCCAGGACGACATGCTTCGCACCTTGCTGCGCGAGCCGCGGCTTCCCAAACTTTGCCCAGAGTTGCATATGCCTTTGCAGCGCGAAATGCCGCAGGTGCAGAAAATGTTTTTCCCGGCAGTTGCAGATGGGTTTGGACCCTTTGGACCTGAAATTTGGGAAAAAACCACCCATTTCTAGCCCTTTTGATAGGGACAGTTATGACAAAGCCTCGGATTTGCTGCTCTATCTTCAGGCCAACTCACATGGACTGGGGCAGATGGAAACAGAAGCACAACCGTAGTGAGCTGAAAACGTGGCTTTGACCTTGATGGTAACAGGTTCATTGGGCCTTCCCCGGATGGCACATTTCTTGTAGCCTGGACCATGACGGTGAGCCCATCTCCTACAGTTATGGCTTTGTCTGAAGGGTACCTGCAGTATATATTCCATATATCCGCTGATATCTAAGGGTTTATAAGTGACTTTTTCCGTCACTTTTTTTTTGTTATCTTTATTCTTCACTATCATCAGTCTTATATTATCGTTATGGTCATCATCTCTATCATTAGGCGGGCTCCGTGGAGCTTGAAGCCGCCAACCGGGCGGAAGCGGAGCTCTTGGAAGTGGTGGATGCTGAGCTCTTGGCCGAGGTCAAGGGCTGGCGAGTCTGATCATTGGGATCATTGGGATTGTTGACCGCATCCTGACCCGAAAGAGGAGGTGTTTTGTGAGTAACATGCTGATCTAACAAGCATCAATGGGGAAGGGAATATAACTGAGTTGATGATCGATCTGGTTGGTGATTTCAGACATTTTAACAAGAAACATGAAGACTATGACACCATGAAACGAAGATATAACCAATATCAGCGGTTGGATGTTTCAACTACTCTTCATTTTTCACACACGTCAAACCTGATACGGGGATGATGATCCCAATTTAATTTTAGACGATGTAACATAGTGCAAGGCCATCCAATGTAATACAATGCAACGTAACGTAAGGTGTGTATGTATGTACACTATACGTACATGTACACATCGAGCCTCATTTCTGGGAAGAAATCACCCAAGAAAATATGTCCAAGTCTCGCATACGCGTTGGTCATTTTCTCCAGTTTTTCTGGGTATTTGGGTAGAGCTTAACTCTTTTGGCATTGGAACCACAGATAGACTGGTTAGATTTGGTATTGAACAATCCAGTTTCATCAAAATCAGGCCCAATAAACACATTGCAGTTTTTGCTATTTCATCGTCCCAGTACCAAGAAAGGAACTATCATGATGCCCAGAAGACTTGGGACACAACTTGGAGTTCCTAACATGTTTGAAATTCTGACATTTTTTGGAGAGAGACTTGTTTTACACCATTGGATTTTAAAGCTTTCAAGATCACTGGTCGGAGGTGCGAAAGAAAAAGGCCAAGCAAAAGAAGAAGCAGAAGGAGAAGCAAATTAAAGAGCGCAAAAATCAGGCCCTTATGGCTCGGATGTGCGCTGCTTTTTCGGAATGTCTAGTGGGGTAGAGTATTTTCTAGACAAACCCTTAAATGAAGGGCTCTAACTATAGTTTTACCACCATCCCATTTATAAACAACGGTCCTCGTTTGTTTCACCTCGCTAAGGTGGTTGTTTTTTTTTTTAAAAGGGAACTCACAGATCCACCAGATCTAATGCAGAAAGGGAGTTGGTCAGTGCCGAGTTGACTCATTCAAAAATAGGGGTTTCATAAAATGTGGGACCCCAAAGTAATCATCCAAGTTGACAGGAGGATCCCAATGGTGAAAAGGGATGCAGCAAACCCCATTTTGGAGACCATAGGCGCTGCCCGATTTGGAGGCCAGAACTGAAGAAACCGAAGCGACCGAAGCAACCAATGAAAAAGATGAGGCTGAGAGCGAGGAAGAGGAAGAAGAGGACGTCCTGGCAGCGGGTCCTTTAAAACTGGGTCAGCAGGTCAGGCTGATGAGAACCAGTGGATTCGTGGAGAATGTGGGGATTTTGGGAAGCAACAATTTGCCAATCATGGGGAAATAGATTGTCCAAACATTTGGATACAAGCAAGTATTGTGTCGCCAAGTCTGGCGGACCAAGATCCGAAGATTGGAATCACCAACAGCTACCAACAGTTTTGAGAGAAGATGTTAATGAATTTTTTATGAACTTGTGCAACAACTCATCGCATCAAAACATGTTTAGGGGAATATTTTCGTTGTGGAAATGGAACATTTCAAGATAAAAGATGCGGCAAACGACAAATCACACTTCGAACATGGCCAATGCCTTGCCTATCATGTTTGAACCTGATCTCATCAGTTTTGCTCTTCTCAAGTAAACCAAGAATCCTGCATCCGAGAATCGCCAGTAGTGGATCCTAATGATCTAATGCAATGTGAGTATGAGTCAAGATTCAAGATACTGGGGCAACTTGTGGACTTTGTTCTTGTCAACCCTCCCAAGTTGGGAAATGAAATTACCGTACCCACCAAGTTTGACCAACCATGACTGACATGAAGATGTCATGTACACGCGTCGCGTACCCGCACTCAAATAACGATAGAACATGTTGCATTGGGTGCGAATAACAACGACGACGATGACAACAATAAAGCATCAATAAGAGGAATAAAACCAATAGCAACAACAAGAACACAATAAACAACGACAGCATAAACAAAAGTATTGCCATCACCACCACCAGCACCAGCAACAGCAGCAGCAGCAGCAACAAGAAGAAGAAGAAGAAGAAGAAGAAAAAGAAGAAGAAGAAGAAGAAAAAGAAGAAGAAGAAGAAGAAACGAAACACAAGCACAAACACAGGCGCATCACCACCGCAACAGCACAGCAACAACCACAACAACCACAACAACCACAACAACAGCAGCAGCAACAACCACAACAGCAACAACACCAACAACAACAAACTAAAGAGTAACAACGACACTAACAAGAATAATAAGAAATAATCATAAGAAGAAGAAGCAGCAGAACAATACTTAGTGTGAGGAAAAAAAAGAAGAGGATGAAGAAGAACATTCTGAAGAAGAAGAAACAGCAGAAGAAGAAAACAAATATATAAGAATAACAAACAAATAATAGATGAATAAAAAAAACAGAAGACAATGAAGAGTAACGACAGACATCGACCAGGGAATCAGCAAACAATTTTGTGGCAAAGGTTGATTCGTTGCATAGGATCTCCTCACTACATCCAAGGGCTCCTGTTAGAATCGTTGTTTTTCAGTTGTTGCAGTTGGAGTTGGTGGAAGTTCTTCGATCATTCTCCACCTTTCCTGTTGCTCATCATCCAAGCTGCCGGAGCGTTGAAACACGAGTTAAGTGTTGGATGAATTGTGGGTCTCCCAATTTAACTTGTCAAAAGATACCTCGAATCGGATGTCTTCCCTGGACTTAATTAGTGAGTTTCATCCCATGCTCGGAATATCCCACGACAATTCTATTTGCCCAGTCACATGCCAGAAATCGATAAACATTGATGGTTGTCGGTAACGTCGGTAACATCCCGTCAAATTCAGTCACCAAGTCCTGTCACCATCCTTCACTGGTTGGTGTTTCTCAATGTCCAGCTTTTATCGGATGGTTTGAAACCACCAGCGAACCAAAAAGACCATCTAAGAATGGTGACAATGCTAATAATGATAATAGTGATAACAATAACAATAATAAATGGGATAACGCCCTGGTGCCGCCGACCCCCCTTTTTTGTCACAGGGCAGGGGAATTGCTGTGTGCGGGTTGTGCAGGTTCATGCAACACACCTTGTTTTTGCTGCGGCTGTGTCGGATGGAGCCGTGGTGACATAGGGAAATCCTGACTTTGGTGGTGACCGCACTGCAGTCTCAGATTAGCTCAGAGAGTTCAGCAGGTGTATGCCACAGCTTTGCTTTCGCTGGGCCTTAATGGGAGATAGAGAATGCCAGTTCTCTGCCTCGTGCGACGGAAGCGGTACCCCATATAGCTTTTACGATGGCTTGGTACTGAGAAGGGTGGAGCACAATCCACTTGACACCTTTGAGGCCCTGGCCCTGACAGGATCAGCAACGAACCTGGACCTATCGCTGTTGCCTGCAAGATATGGGGCGCATGCCATTTGCACACAGGCGGCGCGAAATGGTGCATCCCGGCTGCGAGGCTTGGAAAGATCTCATGGGTGAGGCCACAGCCAATGTCGCACACCTGCGGTGATCCCAGGCGCTGCCCCGCCTAGGCCAAGGTCTGCAGGGGTCGGCGGATACTGTGAACAATGCTAACATTGGCAATAATAAAGGCATCAAAACTAAGTATTCGGCTGCAGGAGGAAAAACCTGCAAAGGTGGACCTACAGGAGGTGGAGGCCTGATTATCATCATTAATGATTGGGGGACATTTTTTTTATCAAGAAATATGGGGATGTAATGGACCAATGATGCTTTTTAATTGATGATGAGTCCAGGGCCCATACGCGCATACCTACCCTTTATATTGGTTGGATGTTCATAATCCATGTGATAGATTCCCGTTCTCAACTAGCCATTCTTCCGTGGAATGACAGTAGGTTTGGAACACTGCTCACTTGATAAACAAACGATCAGGAAACCACAGTTTTGACCAGGCAGTTTTTTCAGATTCAACTGATTCAACCTTCCAATTGTTGGAGATGGTTCAGAATAGTGTGGGTATGTATATGGGATAATTTACACAAACATGGGAATTTCACAGGCATAAATGGACACTTACATAAATTTACCTAAGCCCATGGGGAGGGTTGATGAAGGTCAATGAGCAACAACGATGGTTTGAAGACTAAGCATGACCAATTCTGTGGGTCCAAACAGGTACCGTTTTCGCCACACCCGGATTGACGCCTATGCACATAGGGATGATATAACAAACACCCATATGTGTTGTGAAAACGAAAAACCTCCCAGCGTCTTTTGAATATCTGGGGTCTATGCTGCGGTAATTTTCATTGTGATTGATGATTGAACTGCGCATCCGTGTCGGCATCCTTTCTTGGTGCATCAGAGGGGTTGACAGGTTCGGGTTGACAGGTCCTACCGCAGAATTATCATATATATATATATACATACATTATATATACTTTCACGTATGTGCATGTATATATACACATGCAGATACGCATAGGGTGATGTGAGCCGGGGTCAAAATTAAGTGTCATATCGCCATGTTGCAGGATGACAACACCAGTAGCGAGTTCAATATACCCATTGAAAGAAAACCCCAAGAGTGTTTGGGTGAATATCCCCACATGTTTCATACTTTGACCCTGACACATGTGAGTTAGTGTCGTTATTTTGACTTATTGATTGATTATATATTAATTGAAAGTAACCGTGTTAAGGGCTTATTTTTTTTTGCGGAAGCTGGGATTTGCAAGAAGCTTTACGGAAGCTAGCGCTCAAATCGCATACTTCCAAGAAACTAGGGGTACTCTGCGGAAGTCACCCAAAAGTTTTTACGGAAGCATTGTGTTGCGTCAACAAAAAGTTGATACGAATGAAAAACATTTACGCAGGTTTGTCAATAGGGTACCCACCCAAGTTTGATGGTGGGTCATCATTCTTTCCGCACTGAAAATTCTAGAAATTGGTGAAAGGACCCCCATTTCTTAACAAATCCACAGCCCCTCCTTTCGCCACTCACATCCACCCGACGAGTTTTTCAGGCCAGGGCAATGAATACGCCGACCGAATTCGATGAAGAAGGACCGGGCTGCATACTTTCGGGCGGGTAATCAAGGGTGAGTCCAGTTATAATATTTGTAATGTAGTTTTCGATTTTGGTTTCCCCATTTATCAGCCCTCAAAGGTGGTAATTCACTACGTCTCTATCACTGCAAGGTGATATAGAGGACATATTTCAGCTACCTGAAGATTTGACCAATTTTACTTTTTCCGTTTTCGTCACTTTTTCCAAGGCCAAGCCAGAACGGTCAGGATTTGAAGAGAATCTTCGCGCCGCGCGTGGCAAGAAAGCTCGAGGTGCTGCTAAAGCAAAAGCAGGCTCTCAGACATTTGGTGAGTTGCAAGACAAACACTGAGATAAACAATGGTAAACATGATAAACAATGAGAGTTCGGGGAATCCTCCAAAAATGTCTTGGGACTACTTGGTCCGGGATTTACCATACTTGCACTTCAAATTAGCATAGAGGCATAGACCCTGAAAGCCAAGTTGCAGTGGAAACTAATCTTCCAACCTCCTATTTGGCAGGGTCTCTGTGAAATTTCTGGAGGGTATTTGTCGAGAAACATTCACAAAGATAGGTGAACATCCCTGAGCATGATCTCTTCTGTTGATTGCTGGCATTTTCCTTCAAATGCAGGAGCCTTTGGCCTCCGTGACCATTGGCTGTCCATGGAGCTTTAAAGAATGGGAAATCGGATTGGAATCTATTCGCCCTTGCAGAGAGACAGCCCTTGTGTTTGGATCTACCTGAAGACCAGGAGACGGTCCTTGCAGAGGTCCTTTCTGTTCCCAAACTTCTCTCTAGGTCGAATTAGATTCTTCTTATGCCACGGCGTTTGCAGGGCCGGCGCCTGCAGAAAGCAACAACAAAAACAAGAAGAAGGAGAGTTTCTTGTCCTCAACGGCTTTGGGATGATCCAAAGGTATGAGGGGCTCTGGGGCCCCGTGAAGGTGCAGCGTTCAATAGTAAGCCCAATCATTTCAAGAGCTTGGATCCGGATCCAAGATTTCTACATATTTCTACCCTGGATCCAAGCAAAGCTTTTTGAACATCTTGAATCTTGGATCCTTACAATGTCAGACTTGAGATTTTCAAGTTTGAACCCTTTTCAGACTTGAGATTCTCAAGCCACAGAAACTGGAGTAAAACCAAAAAACAAAGCATGAACTTCAGACAAAAACATTATCTGAAAAGTTTTGTTTTTTGTTTTTGTGGTTTTATCGAGGATTTGTTGCAACCCACATCCTTTAAGAGTAGCAGCAGTAGGTTCAGCAAGATATTGCATAATTTTAGATTTGGCTGGACACCATCCAGGTAGGTGTCTATGTTTTGCTGATGTTCTCATGGTTTTGAGCACCCTCTCAGAAAATTACTTAAAACCATGAGAAAAATACAAGACAGACAGCCAAAACTAGAAATTATAACACGTAAGCAGGTTTCATTATAGACTTTCTTTGAAAGGAACATAGAATTATTTCAAAGAGACTTACAGCTGTGCGAAGTTCTGTTCAAGAGGTAAAGGAATTTATGGAAGGAGGACAGACTTACGACAAGATGGAATCCTTTAAGTAACAATTTTAGCCGACTATGGTATTCCTTAAAGCAGGGTTGGTGCAAGTATGTGCAAGGCCTCCTTCACCAGGGAGTGAACCATTTGATTCGCAAACCATGCATAAATACAAAACAAATCAAAAAAACATAACTTTGAAGTGGAACCCTTGGGTGTAAGTAGTATTTTTTGAAAGATATATGTAATGGTTGCATGCATGCAATACGCGCTTTCATATGAGTGAAACGCCTGAACAAAATAAACAACATCATTTTGAAGAAATTAAGTCTTTCCTTTAAAGACAACTGTCATTCAGAAAAATGAGAGTGAGGCTGAACTTCATAAAGGATGTATTGCTTTGCAAGAATGTTGCTTGTTATTTGAGGAAAAACTTCGTCTTCAGGGCAATTATTTTGAAGAAGTTATATAAGTCTTTCATTAAAAAATGGTCATAAAAGGAAAATGGAGGAAGGCTGAGCTCCATAAAAGGATGTATTTCATTTTTCCACATATATTTTTTTGCAAGAATAGTGCTTCTCGTTCAAGGGACTATCTTGTCTTCAAGGCAGATTGTAACCTGTAAGCAGCATTCTCCTTTAACAACAATCTTCTTTTCAAGGAATGCTGTAATGAGCATCAACCATTGCACATTTTCACAGCAATACTCAATCTTAATCACACACTGGATATTGTGTAGGATTCTGGCGTTTTGAAATAAATTTTGAAATACTGTATGATTGAACGAAGGCTTGAACGAAGGCTGAATAATTTCCTGAAGGGAAACTGCACTTCTTCAGAAAGGAACACTGCATGTTTAGAGGAATGCTCTATATGTTGTAGGGATACTGCTTCTTATACAGTTGAAGTATGCAGTGAGTTTCATCGTGTCTCTGGAAAAGCATCAAAGGTAGATCTTAGGGGGGGGAGTTAGCAATATATATATATATATGATACACACACAGATATACGTATCTACATATATGCATATATACATATATACATATACACATATACACATATAGACACATAGAGAACTAGACACATACATAGATACACATAAACACATACGCACATTTGCACACATACATGTACACATGCACACATAAAAACATGTACAGATATACGCATGCACACACACACAGGCATATATCTACATATCTACATATCTACTACATACATATCTACATCTACATCTACATATACATCCCGCCGGGATTTTCACCGTCCCACGATTTTGATAAAATCGGTGTCCCGCCACAATGCCATGTCTATTCTCTTGACAAAAACGGGAACTTTTTTTTTTCAAGCCTTTCATGGTTGCCTTAACCCTTCGGTGGTTTTGTGCCCGAAAAGGAGTTGGATATTTGGAAGGCTTTTGCGCCTCCTTTCCTCCCGTCTCTTTGAGTAGATCTTTGTCACTTCCCAACACCAACTTTTGGCTTTGCATGTCTTGCCGCAAGAGCTTGTTTGGTTTTCCACCAACTGTGCTGGAAATGGAATTTGGCATTCCATCTTTAAGCGGTCCAACAGGCATCTACTGCTCCAGGGTGCACTCTCACTCAACGTCCAGTGGCGTAGCATCACGTATGTGTGCAAGCGCACTTGAACGCCCAGTGGCGTAGCATGACGTATGTATATACGCAGAAGAAACTGAATCTTATTCGCCTACACCACCCCAACCTTGTTTTTGTGGGCTGGTAAAAGATCCGCTAGCATTTACATATACATTTACATAATATATATATATACATATATATATAGTATATATACTTATAGCATTGATACCATCACCACTTGGACCATCGCCGCGCCAAGGTCAGGCCTATCCGGCGTACCCTTCCCCGGGCCTACCGGCTGCGCCGCAGCCGGCGCCGGTGACGCCGATGGTTGCCACGGCTTCGGCGAAGGCAGTTATCTGAATTAGCTATTGTGGGTACTATATAAACCAACTATATAAACCAACTATAGTTCATGGGATTACTGGAAATAAACCAACTAAACCAACTGAGGGGCTTCACATTTTTTTTAGCTGACATCCTTTGCTATAATCTTTATTAGCAATGAAGTGGGGAAACAGATTGGCCGGTTTGATGAATATGATGTGCTGCTGAACATGGCCATGTTTGGAGGGTGAAGGTTTAGGCAAATTTTCCAAATTGTGTCATAAGTTTCTTATCAAACCGGGAATTTTCCGCCCGGTTGAGATCTTGTTGCAGCGAAGTTTTGACGGCAGGCTACCGATTGTCAGGGCAAATGTTTGTTCCAGCCACCTAACGAACCAAAAAAACAGGGGACCACCAGCATGCGCAAAAAAAGTGGATTTGTAAGCGGCATCAGTGGAATAATCCCGATCTGAATCAGAGGTGCGCAGTTTCAATGCATTTTGCTTGGTAAATAGAACTTTTTCTACCAGTCCTTTGTTAAGCAACTGCTTCTTCGGGGCTTTCTCATGTCTCTGGGCACCCTTCGAAAAATTGCACCAAAGTAAGGAACAACCAAAAACATGCAGACACGGTGGGTGGAACTCGGAGACTTGTGGCACGGGTTACGCAATTTTGTGTTTTTGTGTTGTTTGATTTCTTCACAGTACTTTTTTTTTAAAAAAGAGTACGCTATTTCTTGAAGAACTTGTGGTATGAATGTGTGAAAGGTTTCTTTCAAAAGGAACGAACGATTTTATGGTAAAACAGTTTTCTCTCAAGACAAAGGACCATTACTCTAGAGTTGTCTCAAAGGTTGATTGCAATTTGTAAGCAAAATATCGTTTCTGAAGGAACACGGAGCTTTTTAAAGGAGTGTTGTGTTGTGCATTGAATACTGCACTTTCTTAACAGGAATGCTGTATGAGAAACACATGCTGCATATTGTGCAGGAATGTCGCCTTTTTCGAGGGATACTGGACCATTCAAGCAAGACTGGATAGTTCAAAAGAAAGGCTACACTGCTTCAAAAGGAATATGGGATCTTTGGAGGAATGCCGTGTATTTGCAGGGATACTGCTTCTTGAAAGAATCCCAAATTGTCTTAAATGAAGACTGGAGCTGATGAATGAACTACGCGTCTTTTAACAGCAGGGAATGTTGCATTTGCGTGTTGAATATTCCATTTTTGTTGTAGGAATGCGGCACGTAGAAAATCAAGCAGGCAGGAAGGCGAATATTCTGAAATTAGGACCGCGCTTCTTCAAAAAGAATACTATATCTTTCAAGGACGGAATGCATAACGTTTTGCATGGATGATGGAAGGTTTGCTCCTGTGGCTGTTTCAGGATAGTTTAGGTTACAAGCGTGTCGCAAGGTCTCTATACTTTGGTTCCTTGTTTAATTGTAGTAGTTAGTTATCTATACATACCTATAGATTCTTTGCCTTGCGGTACCTTCATGTGGGTGAGAGTTCGTGAGTAGACATTAGGCATGATGAAGACATGATGATGATGATGATGATGATGATGATGACGATGATGATGATGGCTGTTAAGGATCGGCACCAACAACTTGCTTGTATACTATACAGACTATACATGACAAACAAGTGCACCCTCAGTCCCCTCTTGAAAGAAACGCGGCGACGGCAGGAGCCGGTGGTGGATGATAACAAGTCAGCCAGCGAAGGCGACTCCGATTAATCCGGGGGATCTGGGCGGGGCTTCAAGGATTTGAGCTTAATCATTGGCCAACATGGACCCAGGTGGAAGAAATTACTGCACCAACCAGTAGTGAAAGCCTCCATTCTGATAGGATTTGGCAATGGCTGAAATTAATTGACAAGGGACTGAGATTTATTTCCAGAAAGGGTCAGGGACCAGAATTATGACTCATATGATCTCAGTTATCATTCTGCCCAATGACAACACATACTGATGAGCCAATGGTATTGTCAAGATTTCTGATCAATTGGTCTATGGGCGTATCTAAAACTTTTGAAAGTGATAACAACCGAGTCGCTTGGTGGGCGACCAACAGTGTAAATCGCCAAAAGAATGGGGGCATATTGTATGAATGACAAGGAGATATGGGGAATTTCACCAGCGACATTGAAATCATGGTGACTGTACAAGAGGTATAATGCCTGGACACTTTAAAGATCTTTAAAGAGACATTTTCATCTAGCCCGGCTGGAAGCCCACCAGTGGCTACGATGTTCAGTCGAATGGTCACTTGGTCCCTCATTCCCCTGGCAATCCAACCTGGCTGGAAAATGGCAAACAAAATCAAATACCCTCTGGTAAACTAACAGTTTGCTATTGAAAATTGCCATTTATTGTGGATTTACCCATTAAAAATGGTGATTTTCGATAGTTATGTTAGTTTACCAGAGGGTAAACATATCCACTGAATCCACTTGCAGACGATTTCCTGTGAGACATGATTTACCAGCCAACCATTTTTGATCTGAGGTTAGAATCTCCCCGAAGAAACTGTAGAGCTCCCAAATAAGGAAACTTGACGAAATCTGATCCGGGAATGGATTTCCTCGAATCCTAATTTGTCCTGCTGAAGGATAGCCCCTTTCAAAGAGATTGCATGAGACAAGCCCACAATGACACCTGGCTCGGCATGTTCAGGCCGACGTTCGCCACGCAGTAGCGATGCCGGTAGCACTGCAGGGAGTGTGGCCAAAGGGGTGCCTTGGTACCTGGAGCAACTGGGGCCCTAGAAGGGAGAAGCCTGCAAGATGGGGCTGGGATGGTTGTTCTCCTCGATTGAACGCAACATTTTGGGTTCCATGTTGCATTTTAGTGGGGTATCCTGAAGTTAGGATTAGGGATTGGAATCACAGGTGGTGGAAAGGCATTTGTCACCTGGTTCTCCCAAGGCTCTTCGTGGCGAGCAGAAGTCCGGGGGACAACAGGCGCGAAGTGCAAGATGTGCTTGGAAAAGAACAGCCCCTCCCCAGCTTTTGAGAATTTTGGGAGCATCATTGCTTAGGGAAGTGCTTCTTCAGGTTTGAACTGTTTTTGGGAATCTGAGCCAAGAGTGAAATCTGATTTTTGTCTCTGTGGTTCTCAGCTCCTGTCAAGCCTGGATGAATCAACTCTCCATTGGGCAAAGAACGATAATCACTGAACAATCCAACACTTTTTACCAATTTGTTTCAACCATCATATCCCCAAAGAAATTGGATGGAAACTCTGCTGGACACCTATTTTCGCAATTTTAAATCATTTTTCGCCCAGTTTTTTTTGGCCGTTTGCAGGTCAAGACCCTGACGCCCAGCGAGGGCGGTGCCCCCAACGCACCCAATGCGACCGGTGGTACCCCGAACCTGGGGAATGCCGCCGCGAACGGCCCCAGGCAGACCATGTCTAGGGCTGAGCCCATTGAAAGGGGAGGACATTGGTATTTTTTTTCCAGATGTTACCTATTTTACCAGCGACATCCCTGGAAATGAATCTATATCATTATTCATTCTGGTTTGATGCTTTAGTCACATTTGATGGAGGCACAATGGCGATCAAAGTCTGTTTCAGCCCTGTTTCAGCACTGAATGGTGGTTTTGGGTGGACGGAAGTTTCAGCTCATCCAGGGGGGAAGTTGGATGGGGTCCATCGCCAGGGTCATCAATCCATGGGAATGACAATGGCAATTACAAGGGATCCAGCAAAATGCCCATTATGGGATCCCAGGAATCCCATAAGACCAGTAAACCTTCCAGTCCCTGTGAAGATCGATTACTTGTCAAAGGGGCTTGTCTGACACTACCCCTAAATCCAATGATGAACCATCCCTTTTCCCCATGAAAAAAACATATTTTTGGAGGCCGAATGGGACTGCTCCGGCGCGAGTCAATGGAGTGCCTGCCTCTGCCCAGTCCAAGTACGGGGTCCTAGAATCCTGAAAAGATGGTCATATTTTTCTATTGGCACATATTTATTCTACATACATATTTCTATTGGCATCTGGGCAAAAGTTTCAGGACTGGTCATTATCTGGGCATCAACCTTCCAGTTGATTCGGGGTCATGACTCAACCGACTTGACCCATATGCATTTCATCAAGATGGCCTCCGAACATTTGTTAAAGATACGGTCTGTGTTCTATATTATTATTATTATATACAGTATATATATATTTTCATTCAACCGCTGAAAGTTTGGAACTGTGCGGACATGCTAAGCCAGCAACCCAATACTTATATATATATTACATCAGATACTATATATAATATAATATAATATAATATATATATATATAATATGATATAATATAATATAATATAGTATAATATAATGTAATAAAATGTAATATAATATATAACATAACATATATATATAATATAGTATTATATATAATATAATATATATATATATAATATAATATAATGTAATATAATATAATATAATATGATATAATATATACTATATATATATGTATTATTATACATTATTATACATTATTATATACTAGTATATATTATTATATATTATTGTATATTATTAAAACATATTATATGCTATATATTATATATTATATATTATATATTATATATTATATATTCTATATTCTATATTCTATATTATATATTATATATTATATATTATATATTATATATGATATATTATTATATATTATATATTATTATATATTATATATTATATATTATATATTATGTATATGTATATGTATTTAATATAGTATATTATTTTATATATCATTCTATGTTATATATTATATTGACTTATATGATAGTATATTATAATATATTCTATTATAACCTACTATATTAGATTATATCATATTATATTATAATATAATCTATTATATCATTTTATATCGTATTATATCATATCATATTATATTATAATATTATATTTTAATATAGTGCATTATATTATATTATATTATATCATAGTATATTATATTATATTATATTATATTATAGTATATAATATTATATCATATCATATTGTATTATATCATATTATATTATATTATACTATATCATATTATATTATAATAAAATATAGTGTATTATATATTTTTTTCATATTATATTATATTATTTTATATCATAGAATATTCTATATTATCATATTATATCATATTACATTATATTGCATTATATTATATCATATTATATCATAGTATATCATATTATATCATATTATCATAGAATATTCTATATTATCATATTATATCATATTGCGTTATATTGTATTGCATTATATTATATCATATTATATCATAGTATATCATATTATATCATATTATATTCTATATTTAACCCCTAAAGTAAGCTGGACAACTATGTACCAGTTATAACCAGTAGGGACTATTGTTGTTGCTTGGGTTCCACGATGGAGTCGGCCACCAAGGCCTGCCAGGGCGGAACCCAAAGCCAGAGAGCAGCCGCAACCAGGTATGGAAAACCATGGGACTGGGAAAATCTACAGAAAGGCCATATTCTACATGCGCCTCTTTCCTGGGAAGATGTTCTGTGTTTTTTTGGAACACCTGAGGATTTCGATAGTAGTTCATGATATTCGGCATGTGAACTGCAAGTGTGTGCGGATTTGACCCGCGACAATTGTGGTTATGCGCGAATGGACATTCCCCAAAATGGATGATGAAGACTAAGAAAGTCCCCAATGTTTTTGAAAGCCCAGTTTTCATTCGTGAAGTTCCCATTTTCATCCCTCCAATGCCCAGACGTTCATCGCTTAAATTCCCATCCTCATCTCTTAAATATCGGAATTTCCCGTGTTTGTTGCCTTCTTTACCGCCCTGCTTGCCAGAAGATCATTTTGCAGGCCCTGCTGCCACGCCTGCCGCAGCACAGCCCCTTGTGCAAGCGACTCACGCGGCGCAAGCAGCGCAAGGGGCGCAAGCGGCGCAAGCCCGTCCTCCGGCCATTGCCCATGCCGCCAGCATTTCCTCTGTGGCCACAACGGCCGAGATGGGCGAAGGACGGCCTTGCAGAGCAAATTTTGATATTGTAATCAGTCAATCTATCAATCTATCTACTTATCTACCTACCTAATATACATATGTAGATAAACGTTAGTCTAGAGAAGAGGCTATAATCTTGATTTTGTCCCCCAGGTTTCTATTAAGGGCTATGAGCTGCACTGAAACATTTGTTTCGGACAGAACAGGTTGTTGCGCTTTTCGCCCCCCCATGTGTTGCGAATGTTCCAAAACTCATCCGCCATTTTTGAAACCTTCCACAAAGATACCTCAGAATCATCCCAACGATATCTCAACCTCCCCAAAGTCATCCCAATGTCTTCATTGGGGCAGCCAGGCACAGAACGACATCACCCATCGTCTTCTTCCAGATCCTTGCCCAAGGATGACGGGGTGAAGATCTACCCAGCCCCTTGGACCTGTGGAAATCTATGGCATCGTACATCAGTCATGGTGAGATATGTTGAGATTTTCCTGAAAACCAGGAGTCAGACTTCAATTTTTTTTAGTCCATAGATGTCCATAGTAAACTAGCTTCGACATGTTTTTCACAGAGTGTTCCTGGTTTCTAGTTGCGCCTTGTTTGGTTTCCCAGCATGCCAGTGTCATCGAACATGACGGGTTGCTGGGAACTCCACAGAAGCATATTACATGGGCATCTATCTATCTATATGTATACATATACGTGTATATATATATACACATTATATATATATATATATATATGTATATGTATATGTATATGTATATGTATATACAGATAAAGGGAACATAATCGAGCTATTGCTGGGTGATTTTCCAACCATGGAGCCGATTACCAGAGGGTGGTCCTCCGGATCACAAATAAGGAGCAACTCATTGCTGGGGAAAACCTGATGGATGACTATGCGCAGTGGCTTCGGTGGCATTCGCTGCACAGACGTCAGCAGTGGAGATGCAAAAATGGCTGAAAGGAGCCCAGGAATCATATCAAATCATCCTATGATTTAGAAAAACTATAGATGAGTTGGGGGTACCCCTGTTCATCATCCATTTTGATGGGATATTCCATTATAAATCATCCAGCTATTGGAGGTACCACCATTTTAGGAAGCCTCCATATGACCAAAAACCATGAGATATTGGCTATGGAAGAGTGGGTCCACAGACATTCCTTGGATTTTAGGAGTCTCCATGTCCATTTCGGAGAGATCACGGGCTGTTTCTTTATGGTCTCGGATTCCATTCATGATACCTCAGTATCTACAAATCAAAGACAAGAGTGGAAGTGGGAAACCACCATGTATTTCTATTTCTATGTATCTCTATGTATTTCTATGCATTTCTATGTGTTTCTGTTTTTCTTGTTTCCACGTGGGATGTACTGGTAGGATATGTGGATATGCTGACCCTTGAACCAATTAGCCGATCCTTTCGGGGGCTGCTTTGGGCAGATGGACATAGACATCAGAATTTTCCATGATTTTCCATGATTTTCCATAATCCCATTCCGGTGATGTTCTGGACATGGCCGGATCCAAATCGATGGATTCCTGAGCTGATCTTCTGGCACGATCGTCTGAGGTTCATTTGTGCCATTTGCAAGCTGGTTGCACGGCATCCGGTGGTGCCTCGGACACGAAGCTTTCCAGCTGGTTTCCAGTTTGGAGTTGAGGGATGTTGAGGGGAATATTTGCTGCAGCCGTAAGATGCTGTAATTCTATTTTCCATGTGCCGGTATTTTGAATTGGGGACCGGCTTCCCCATTTGACATCCTTCGAAATGCAGTCGACCAGACGCTCAGATGATGCGCTCATGCGTCCACATCTTCTGCGACAGTTGCTTTCGGCAGTATGTGAACGAAACACGACCCAATGTTTGTTGCTGCTCGGACAGAAAATCAGGGCCTCAGGGCCTCAGGGCCGGGTCACGGCACTGGCCGCGCCAACCTTTTTGGGAACGAGTCTGGTAGCCATGTATTATATGAAACAATATACGATATAATATAAAACAATTTAAAACAACAATATATATATATACACATACTGTACACATTAGATTATGCATATAGACTATGAATCTAGACTACGTGCCTGTGCACGCTAGTTCTATGTACATTCCTGGGAAGTGGCACTTCTTGTGATACGTGTCCGAGGTCCCACCTGTCAACAAGCGGTGAAAAAGGACGATGTGGTGAAGTTGGAATCGGCCACTGGCGCTGGCTTAGCGTTGCTGCATCGACTTTACAGCGGGATGAAGGACGGGGGATGGTGGGTGATGACCATGACCGAACATGGCAAAGGGGCTGAGAAATGGCCATGGACCTTTTGACCATTGAATTGAATGACGATGATTTTTCTCTTATACGAACTGGATGAGAATGGCAATGAACATCCCATGAAATCCCATGAAATCCTGAAGCCTTGCATGGTTGGATGTTGTTGAATGGTTCCGGAAGGTCACCAGCTGTGGTCCAGTGGCACCCAAGTGTTGCAACGATATTGGTATGTCTGCATATATAATATAATATATAAATTGTATATACATACATATATATATATATGATATATATATATGTATGTATATATATACATATATATACATATACATATATACAATATGTGTGTGTATATATATATATATATGTATGTACTGTATATATATATATATACACACACACACCCCTATTCCAACGCTCTTTGATTTGGGCGAAATCTTTGGAAACCATTTGCCCACTCTCCAACTTGGTATGGTTCAAAAGCGATCGGGCCTTGTTGGTGTGGGTCAGCATCGAAGACCCAGTGACCTGCAGATTTTCCACACCTATGGCATTATTTTGTTCCGAAATGTTCCAAACGTCCAATCTCTCTTGACGCTCCAGCTAAATTCCATTTCCATTCTTTTCCATCTTCTTTCTATGTTTTCTTTCGATGTTTTTTCTCTAAGTTTTCCACCCGTTTTTTCCGCGCCTGGAAATTTCTGGACTGGTCCTGGGGTGAGGTGCGCTGCGTGTATCATCCGGAGACCGGTGAGGTGGACTCCCCCGAGGTGGCTAAGGCCAAGCGAAATCGCCTCAGCTGCAAGCGCGGCCGCCCAGAAATTTCTGAAAATCCAGGGTGGACCATTGGACCCATTGGACCCATTGGACCATGGAAGTCTCTCTATCTCCATTATCTCCATTGTCTCCATCATCTTCATCTGACTAATCTGACTCGGAGTCTCTTTTTTTTGTTTTGAAGATGGGAATTTCAACCGTAGTCATATATTGAAGAGAAGGATGTTGGAAGCAAGTGCAACGTGGCCATTTGATCTGGGCTGTTTTAGGGTTGCTCAAGGCGTGTGTTCCCATCGAGAACGTAGCTGATTTGAAGCCATGCAGCGCGCTGACACTGCTTCGGATCGTTGTTTTCGGGCATCACTTCATCGTGAGGGTCATGGACCATGGGGAATCCAAGTTGCCGTTCAACCAGGTTCTTCTGAAGGCCTTGTGATCTCATCCATTCATTTCACCGCAGAGGCAGTGAAGCGGTGGAACTTGGAAAATCCTCGGCAGATGGTGGAACCTGGCGTGGTCATTTCTGAGATTAATGGCAGAAGAAACGTCTTTGCCATGGTGCTCCAGATGCGTTCTGCGCAAGACTTGGAACTGGTGATCTCCAGGGATTTGACACCTGGGCAGCAGCAAGCCTTGACGGATGTCCTATGTACCCACGCAGAATTTGAGGAAGTCACACGCGAGGTGGACATGACGAACATGGATGGCGTGGAGCACCAGCAATGCTCGATTTGTTTGGATGAAATGGATTGCTTTACTCCCGTGGTTGAGCTAAGATGTGCTCACCGATTTCACAGCACATGTCTCCAAAAGTGGTTGCTGTGTGCGCCGCGATGTCCTTTGTGCAATTTGGATGTCAGACAGTGCCAAAGACCCCCCCGATAGTTAGTTTTGGGGATATTTATGAGGGATCTGGCGAATGCTGCATCGACAAACTTGAGCGTAGAAACTGACAGGGATAAGAATTCCCCAAAAGGGATGGCCCTGTACTGGTTTCCTGCGCATTTATCACGTCTTGACACCGCTTTTCATGGTGTGGTTCAAGCTTGAGATGCTTGATTTTCACCCTCATCGTTCGATGCACCAGCTTCATGCATTGGAGTTTGAACAATGCACAATAAGATTGCAGGTGCAGAAAAGGGACGCATAAAAAGAAGAGATGCAGTACCGACAGCTGTATTTTTCTACGTTTGCCAGGGCGGCTCCCACGGCAGAGCAATTCACAGCTTCCATGGCCCATCTCCTAGCTTCAGGTGGAGTGGGGCCTTGCTGGACTTCACCGTTCACTTGGGCAACTGCCAGGTCCACGACTTGGGGCTGAGGCTATTCAAACCCCCGCAAGTTGGGATATAACCCCGATATCACTAGACTCGGTCGACTTGGTCGACTGAAAACACAAGGGGGACAACTTGGGATTCTGTAGCAGATTCCCAACTTCCGAAGTTCCAACTAAATCGATACATGCGATGTTCCCTAAAGTTCACCAGGTGGTAAGGAAGTTGGTGCATATATAATTACCAATATATATATATGTAATGTAATGTAATGCAATGCAATGCAATGCAATGTAATGTAATGTAGTGTAATGTAATGTAATGTAGTGTAGTGTAGTGTAATGTAATGTATGTATGTAATGTATGTAATGTAATGTAATGCAATGCAATGCAACGCAACGCAATGCAATGCAATGTAATGCAACGCAATGCAATGCAATGCAATGCAATGCAACGCAACGCAATGCAATGCAACGCAACGCAATGCAATGCAACGCAACGCAATGCAATGCAATGCAATGTAATGCAATGTATGTATATATATATATATACACAACCACATACTGTACCATGTGCATAGATACATGCATGTATAGCACATAATCCGAGTGATTCGTGACCTTGGCAGCCAGGTGCATGCAGCTGTCTGTGAGCCTCGAGGCAACCCCGGCAGAGGTTTGAGCGACGGCTGGGCTCCCCAGAGACATCGAATCATCGAATCATCAGCAATTTCCAAGACCAACTCATGGTTCCTGAACATGTCACTTTCCCAAGCTTTATACAGAGTATATACATATACAATATACAGACACACACACACACATATATATATATATATGAGAAATCAACCCAAAGAGGACTTAGGATGCCCAGAGTCAAAAAGCATGCAATTAATTGGCAAATTTAATTGTTCACCTTCTTTTTTGTTTCTTGAATTCACCTCCTCTTCGTTGCTTTCAAAATAAAAGTATCTAATATCTATACATTTATGTCTCTGTGTCTCCATATCTATGGATCGATATGGCATATTTCTTGGTGAAGCAGATGAGGTGGTCTCGCGTCGGCGTCAGCGCCGCGGGAAGCACGGGAAGCGCGGGAAGCACGGTCGCTGCGGGGGATCTGCGTGGTGACCGAACCGTACCAGGCGCCACGGCGATGACACCGCGTCACGGTGTGAAACCCAATAAACATCAATAAACACCATTAGTAACACACCGATAAATGGTTGGTAAATGGTTGGTAAATGGTTGATCCACCATTTTATTTCACCATTAATAAAGACCTCCTTAAATGGTTGATTAATCATGGTTGGTAAATCCCAATAAATGATCCGATTAATCAACCATTTGGAGGTGGTAAAACCAATATCAGCATCAAACAACTTTTCCCAAAATGAAGCATTTGGAGGTCAAAATAGACATCATCCCAGTCATAGGGGTATACCCGGTCAACCCAATTTCACACCTCGGGGATGATGGCATCGGGTCGGGGGATTCACCCCAGCTGGTTTTTTTCATCGTGGTGATCGGATATGCAAATGGGGCACATCTGGATTTTTTGATGGGCAATTTACGGATTCAGCCCATCAAAACATATGAAATTTCATCATCGTATTTTCCAATAAATGCAATACTTAAATCATCTGACAAACCCATGGGGGTGTGATGGTTGATGTTCATGCTGTGCAATCGCCCCTCTGTTCATGTTTTTATTCATTTATTTTCTATTTGGGAATTGGAAGTCAGGTTGTAAATGCAAAATCGCATCTCAATTGTCTTGGAAAATGAGATTAAAACAATGAGGCAAAACCAGAAACATCCCGAGTGCGGGTGGTTTCCAATTTGCACCAAATGGGAAGATGGGGGCCCGCACAGGCCACTACATGACATAGGTGGATTGAAAGCTACATCGACCCCAAACCAGGAAGCCATTGAAACAGTGGATCAAGAAACCGTTTACAATTTGTTTTGTCATAGACGTAACAATGTATTTCATAAATTTTATGGTGAAAATTCAGACCAGCCTGGCTTGTGAGTGCATCAGCACCACATAACTTGTGTGAACTAGACCCATATGATGTCATTATTTGGAACTCCTGTCACAATGGTGACCGACCAACCATGTTTTTGGCAGAACTTGGGGCCATCTGAATTTAATCCAAAAATCATATGGGCCAACAACATCTAACTGGCCTGTCCTTGGGTTCTTGGGGAGATGTCCGGCCCGTTCCCTGGAGCTGAGGTGGCCACTCCCGGCACCCTGTCAGTGTGGACCTCGAAGCAGTAACACCTATGCTTATTTGATTGGTGGTTTGGAACATGAATTTTATCACTTTCCATTCAGTTGGGAATGTCATCATCCCAACTGACGAACTCATATTTTTCGGGTAGGTCAACCACCAACCAGTTATAACCAAGCAACAAGAAATGAGGCACGCGTAGTCAGCATTGATCTTGGGACACAAGTGGAATTCCTTGAGGTCCAACGCGGGATGCATGTTTGGGTCAATGACGTGGGGGAGCACCATGCCGAATGGGCCTGGGGACAGCTCTACCAGGACGGTCGCCGACTTTCCGCAAATCCAAAGGAAAGTGAGTAGATTCTACTTAACATGCTTTAAATTGGCCTGTAAATGCCATAAAATATCCGCAAGTGTTGGGTTATCTACCACTGAAATTCTGTCATGAGGTCAACAAAAAAAAGTAACAACAGGGGTCCTCATCATTGATGAAGCCTGACCCTTCAGACCATACGCAGCTTTTTCAGGAGTACCAACTGACTGTGGCCGCAGTGGCTTAAAAACAAGAGTTGCCAGTCGACCCACTATTTTTGGCCAGGTCTGATAGTACTCTTTCAATCACCATCGAAAATCGAGTCGCTATCCATGTCCCATGAAACCAATTGAAAACCTCCATGGCTTCTTAGAATTCCCAGCCATGATCACCGAAGGGTTTTTCACACGTGTTAACATTGCCAGACATGTTCTCCATGTTTTTCTCTGCCAGGACTTCCAAACAGTGTCCGACCCAGCCTGGGTACCGCGCTGTGTTCTGAAGCAAGCGCTCTACTGGGTGTCTGGGGGCCTAAGGAGTTGGTGCTGTGGCATCCCAAATAGCCAGTTGAATGGGGAAAATCAACATCAATCAACATCAATTTTCAAATAATGGTTAACCAATGTTAACCACTGGATTTGGGGGCCCATTTTCAGACAAACGTGGAACCTCAGGATTGAGATCTTTTTGCTCAGAGCATGACGAGCTGTGAAGGCACTGTGAACATTGGAAAAAACATGGCTCTTTGTGCCCTCTATGGGTTCTCCCTTGAAAGTTCTTTCCCATCTTGTTCCATGATGGCCCGGCCTGTCCATTGTTGGCTTCCTCCCGTTCCATCCCATCGTTGAAACGCCGTCCGTTTCCAAGGCGGGGTCCGTTTGATCGCGAGGGGCAACCCGTCCAGGCCTCAAGGGATTCAACGAATTCACAGGGGACACCATTGTTTTCATTGTAAGTTTCATTATTTTTGCTTATTAGTTGCCATGATCATTACCATTACTATTGTAATTTCTACTATGTCAGTACTATTCCACTATTCCAGTATTAATACTATTACTATTGCAGGATTGTTATCATTATTATTATTATTATCATTATTGTTAAGCAAGGAAGCAAGGAAGCAAGGAAACAAGGAAGCAAGGAAGCAAGCAAGGAAGCAAGCAAGGAAGCAAGGAAGGAAGCAAGGAAGGAAGCAAGGAAGGAAGCAAGGAAGGAAGCAAGGAAGGAAGCAAGGAAGGAAGCAAGGAAGGAAGCAAGGAAGGAAGCAAGGAAGGAAGGAAGCAAGGAAGCAAGGAAGCAAGCAAGCACGCACGCAAGCAAGCAAGCAAGCAAGCAACTGAACAACTGAGCAACCGAGCAAGGCAGCAAGCAAGCAAGCACGCAGGCAAGCAAGCAAGCCAGCTAGCCAAGTCAGCCAACCAGCAAGCAAGCAAGCCAGCCAGCCACCACAAGTAAAGTCTTGAGCCAATCGTAGGTAAACCTTCGAGCCAACCCTTTGGAACAATTATAAACACTATAAACCAACTTAAAAAAAAAACAAAACAACCCTGAACCAACTCTAAATAAAGTTCTAAACCAATTGCAACCCGAATCCAACCTTATTTGTCCAAACCCCACACGAGCTTTAAACTGTAAGCTAACTCGCACTACACAAACCAATCTTTGACATCGGACATGTGGACACACTCATCCACGCTCCCAGACCCCAAGCACAGGTGGCGGTAATCTAGGAGTTGAGACTGACATGAAACTGCCAAAACATGCACCTAATTAATCACCAATCTTTGACCAACCCTAAAGAAAGTTCAAAATAAGAACAACACCAAAGCTTAGATTAATATTTGAGGGGGAAAAAACCCTGGCGCAAACCGGGGTGGATTGGATCCCCTTTGACATGCTACCTGGTCTGTCACTTTTTCATATTTGTGTTTTGGCGGTGAGCAACGAATTCGTATGATTTCTGGGTCCAATGCGTCCAATTCTTACGTCCCTTTTTGAGATCCGAACTGAGGCGGCGCAAACCTCCTACCTGCACTTGTGGGGGAGCGAGGTGGTGACTGTGGAGAATTTCAATAATGGCTGGACCTACGGTACGAAAATGGCAGGGCACGGTCCCCGGCAGTCTCCAAGGCCTCAAAATACGAAGACGGCCTTAAGGACCACTTAGGAAAAACCATACAATACAAGGGTGCATTTCTTTTGAGCCATCCCAAGTACTGTAACAGAGTAGGGCCATTGTAATTATTGTAGGGGTACATCCAGCTTCATAAACCACTATAGGTTGGGAATGGTTTATTGTGAAGTGGATGCCTCCCATTCAAGTCTGATTGCTGAGGCCTCACTACAACCAACCAGAGGAGTCCGGGTGGTACCCACAGGCCAGGAGTTGCCTTCTCACTGGTCGTATTTCGGCTGAGGGTTGTATCAAGAGAAGCAGCTTAGTTCGTACAAAATTGGCGAACCCCAGATTTGGAACACTTGGAGTCCCTTTGGTTACCAACGGGGCAACTTGTCTTGAAACGGGATTCCCATCAAAAGCAACCCAGTATACCCGCATTTTTCTCAATTTCCAAGGGAAATCTTTGTCTTCAACTGGAAAACAACCCAGAGTTACGAGATTACTGGATTCTATCCAACAGCCTGGCCAGGCATGCATTGGCAACCCATTGGAATAAGGCAAGAAATGACGCCGATGCCAAGCCTGTTTTCTGGCACCAGCTGCAACCAAAAACAGTTGCCAATGCGAAGCGACCATATTTGACCTGCACTTTCCCAAGCCAAGGAACATGTAGTCATAAGAATGAACATAATGGTACTCAGAATGATATATTTTGTGATTTTCAATGGAATTTCTGAGAGCCAATCATTTCGGGAATGACATGAGACTTCCATTTTCTTCCGCTGGATACTGGGTCGTGCTGGTTGCCAGAGGAGGACAGAGATTTCGACCAGCGCTGGATCACATGCAATGAAGTCAGCCATAGGCGCATAGATGAATCTTAGATGAAGATGATGAAGGATGTTCAACAGACTTCAACTGAACATTTCAAAGGTCTTTTTTTCATTGTGATTTTCACAGCTTCTGCGAGAAGAAGCATACAAGCGCATTCGCGCAGGATAAAAACTCAAGCAGTTCTGGCTTGACGTTCATTGAAAACCACCTTGAAGTGGGTCAAATCCAGCTTCTAGTTCTGTGCTGTGCAGTTGCCCTTGAAAGCTGAGAAAAAAGGGGGGGAAACTTATGAATCACGTTGGAACCTTTCACCTCAATGATTTCGATCGTTTCTGCCCCCCCCCTGCATCAGCAGTGTGACGAGCAGCACGCATGAGCGAACGCCACCTTTGAAAATTCCCCTGGAAAAATCCTTGGGCAAACCTGATGGGGTACCTGGGGCTGTGCAGCGTCCATTGGTGAGCTAAATTCCAGCTCAGAACTGCATCAACCGATTTGTGAATGGTGGTTGGAAATAGAGATTACGCATATTGGTACAATGATGTATATTTGCCTACAGCTATGGATCTAAGGGTCCTCGTAAAGAGTTATGACTGGCATGACAGCTCATATCATGTTTCTATGCCTCGCGAAAGTTTCTTTCTCCAGTTCCTGCATGTATTTTTTTTATCCCTTTATCCCGGAAAGTTTTTGCGAAACTTAGACATCATCAAGTATAAATCTATACACTATATATATATGTATAAACCATCAGGGAGATTTGCGAAATTTCCGAGAAGGAACCAATCCAATAAGCTATAATCTGTTGCGAGAAAGGGACTCTGTGATGCTACTTGCCCACGCGGAGCTCGTGAAAGTTTTAGAAATTCACCATGTTATTTCAAGAGGAATAGCTGTTTCCATTTCCGGATGACAGAATTTATATCATGTAGATCAACAACTGCATATTAAGTATCTTATACATTAGATATATACATGGATACTTGTGTCTTCAGGTATATGACAGACACACATACAGTAATGCAATATAATGTAATCTACTGTACTGTAATGTACTGTAATGGTATGAAATGTAATGTACTGTAATGGTATGAAATGTAATGTAATGTAATGGTATGTAATGTAATGTAATGGTATGTAATGTAATGTAACGGTATGTAATAAAATGTAATGTAATGTAATGTAATGGAATGGTATGTAATGTAATGTAATGTCATGTAATGGTACGTAATGGTATGTCATGTAATGTAATGTAATGTAATGGTATGTAATGTAATGGAATTGTATGTAATGTAATGTAATGTCATGTAATGGTATCTAATGGTATGTAATGTAATGGTATGTAATGTAATGTAATGTAATGGTATGTAATGTAATGGAATTGAATATAATGTAATGTAATGTAATGTCATGTAATGGTATCTAATGGTATGTAATGCAATGTAATGCAATGTAATGTAATGTAATGTAATGGTATGTAATGTCATGTAATGTAATGTCATGGAATGTAATGTCATGTAATGGTATGGTATGTAATGTGTAATGTAATGTAATGTAATGTCATGTCATGTAATGTAATGTAATGGTATGTAATGTAATGTCATGGCATGTAGTGTAATGTAATGTAATGTCATGTAATGTAATGGTATGTAATATAATGGTATGTAATGTAATGCAATGTAATGTAATGTAATGTAATGGTATGCAATGTCATGTAATGCAATGTAATGTAATGTAATGGTATGTAATGTCATGTAATGCAATGTCATGGAATGTAATGGTATGTAATATAATGGTATGTAATGTAATGCAATGTAATGCAATGTCATGGAATGGTATGCAGTGCAATGTAATGTAGTGTAATGTAATGTAATGTAATGTAATGGTATGTAATGTAATGCAATGTAATGCAATGTAATGTAATGTAATGTAATGGTATGCAATGTCATGTAATGGTATGTAATGTAATGTAATGTATTGCAATGTAATGTATTGTAATGTAATGTATGGTAATGTATGTTTATGTATATATATATATACATATGCACATACCAAACTTCCCATGTCGCAGTGTTCATATCTCAACTAACCCCAATCATATTCTCATGATTTGAGTCCAGCAGGATGCGGATGCGTCGGCTGCACCAGGTGGGTCGGTGCGCTGTGTGTCAACCCCTGTTGGTTTAATGGGGATTTTTACTGGTTTAATGGTGTTTAATGGGGATTTTTCATGGGGATTTACTGATTGAACCATCATTTTCCAGGCAGTAAACTCAGATAGCTATTGAACATGGCCCATTCATCGATGATTTACCTATTGAATGTGGTGATGTTCCATAGCTATGTTTAAATTACCAGGGGAGAATGGAGTAGTGATAATGGGGATTTCACCATCACAGAGGGTTTAACCATCAAGGATATGGAGCTATGATTCATAGTTGATACATGCTGCTGGATGATTATTAACCCATATTGATCCAATGATTATAGTATATATATATATATTTAGAACAGTATATAAATATATATATATATAATATGATATAATATGATATAATACAATACAATATAATACAATATAATATGATATAATAGAATATAATATAATTATAATATTATATAATATAATATAGATGATTGAGGGTAACCGTGACCTGACCTGTATATCATTTTATATCTTGATCATCATGCATGAAGAATTCAACGCTGAGCTTAGCCCCGCAGCTGTTTGCAGCCCCGATTTGTTGGTTGGAAACCAAAGTGAACAATAAATGCCTTAGATATCCTTAGTAGATATTCTTAGTTCCTTAGTTGCTGCCGAAAATATGTTTGGAATTCCAGTTTGAGTTCAGCCGTTTTTGGCTCTGACCATGGTTCCATAAAGTATCTTATGTGCCTTTGTAGGTCAGCCACAAACAACCTCAAAAACCTGGATGCCCCTGAGTTTTCCCAATCCTGGCCATGATTTGGTTGGCCAAGCTGGTTCGGATCCCCAAGATGCACGAAAGATCGCAGGGGTTGGGGGCGGTTTCTCCGTGGTGAACCGCAGAGCTTCGCTGAGGTATCGCGACCCTTCGACCGGGTCTTAGCGCTGTCGTTTCACATCCTGTGGTTTGAGTTGGACTTGCTGGCGGAACGTGTGGGAGCCCAGCCGGGCAGAAAAGGAAAAAAACGAAAAGCCATTAGTAAACCCAACCCATCCCCGAGGTTTACGATTGAGTTTACCACATTTGGATACATTTTGGTTCATCTTGGTCAGAATTTGACTTCCTTTCTTCGCCAATGTGTTGTTTTCGAGGTTTCCACGCCTTGCTCCCGTCCTTGTCTGGACAGTTTGGGAGCGTCCGTCACTATGGAAGGATGGCCGTGGAGGTACCCGAAATGGCCATCCCGCATCTGGCAGAATGGCAATGGATACTTTGACGCTACCCTGGATCGTAAACAAGGGTGATGTTTCTGATACGCTCCAAACATTTGGCATAATATTGACATATATTGACATGTTTGTTTTTTTTAAAGGGTCTACCCCGGTCCATCCTTTTAGTGCAGGCCTTCTTCATCGCAGAAGCGTGCCGCGCTCAGAGCTGTGATGGGGGCGACTGAGAAGCCCCGAACTGAACTCCGATGAAGGATCCCTGAACCTGAGCTGGCTTGGAAGTGCAAGAAAGACATCTTACACTCCTTTTTCCGTGGGATTTATCGAGTCATAGAGGGATATACTCTGGATTCCAGATGATTGGAATGAAACTGAATCGTTTATGGACAACTTCAGTTGGATCGTCGCAGAAGTTTTCTCCCGATTTTAACATAATTAAATGCTAAACATATGTTACCATTAATGTTAACATTCATGTTAGCACTATGTCAACATATTCTTACCTGAACATTGGCGCTTCGCGCCCCGGAGTCAGCTGAGGTTTCAATGGCTCACCACCGCAGCGGTGCTGTCTTCCTTCTGGCTGTTCTATGCCTTCTGTTTGCCGCCCACTGGTGTGTCATATCCCTTTGCAGCTCGGAATCGAATCCCCGGGAAGAGGAGTTGTTGGATTCATTTTCAGGACCTATTTCTTGGGCAGCTCGATACTTTGAAACATCTTGGAAAATCCTTGAACTGGACTGATTGAACTGAATTTTCATATGCAAGAGTTGAGACTCCAAGTGTTTTGTTTGTCAGTTTTTTTTTCAGCACTTGCTTGAGGTCATCGATTGGAGCGCTGAAACTCGGCGTTTTCTCGAGAAATTCTTATCAATGGCAAAGGATTGCTCCATTGAAGAACCATGGAACCATCCACATCCGTACACCTGGTTGAAGGTGGTGTTGGACACTGCCCCGGTTTCGTTCCAACAGAACCTCTGGACTGCATGGGACTGAGGACGTTTTCAGTAGCTCCTCGGTGGGGCTGAAGCTGCAGGAGACTTTTTGACCAGTGCATGGAGTCACACTATCTTTGAATATATAGAGAACTGGCGATTCAGGCTCAAGCAGACTTGCATTAAAAAAAAAAGTTTCATCTGAGGGTAGCATCAGCTACCTGAGTTTTCTGTGGCTTCAAGAGATTCAAGATTGTTTGCCCCAGGCCCAATGGTTCCAATGGTCGTTATTACAAAAAAGATTTGTTCTAGAGCCACCCCGATCCATTCTCTGCAGAGGGCTGCGATAGTCCCTTGGCAGGATGGCTTGCACGGTGTGGCCTGCAAAGACGTGCCCATGCATCCCAGCAGCGATGGGTTGGCCGCATCAACGTCTGATTATTGAGGGATTCTCTTTGGGAGCAGAGCCCATCCATGTCCTTCAATTTTCATTTACTGGCACGCTAAAGTCACTAAAGTTTCACTAAAGAATGATACATAATGGATGAAAATAGTTTGTTGCCCTTTGGCTGACCCAACATGGCCCAACGTCCCAGCACCCAGGCAGCCGATTCCAGCCCACGTCAGCGCTTTGGAGTTGCACCTGCACTCTGAGATGACCAGTTGTGATGCAGGTGACCGGTTTGGGGTTTTGGCGCAAACCGCAGCAGCATGCCCCTGTGGCTGACCAAAAGCAATTCATCATCAGCTGGATCGTATCACCGGCAAACCTGCATCAAACCAACAGATACCAACAGAAATGGTCAATTTGATGAGTTTCTGTCCTGAGTGAGACAGAACCCGTTTGAACCTAAACATGTCTGGAGGCTTCTACAAACTCCAGCTCCTCAATGCCAGCCACTCTGACGTTTTGTCCCAAGATCAGTGCAGGGGAATCGTTTTGTCTCCCTGGATCCGGAGATGAAGTCTGTTGCAGGAGGAATGTAAGCGCCACTCTGACGGCTGTTTGTTGCAAGATCTTTGCACCATTGTTTTGTGCATTTATCACTACTCGGATGGAACTCGCACACCAAAGCTGAGATTCGCGCTGAAATCAACGATGAAATGGATTGGATTGCAACAAGAATGGCTCAGACATGCTCAGACCCGTTAAACCAGGTTCCATGTTAGATGCATTTTTTGTCTTTTGCCACCCAAGGTATTCACTGGCGTGTGGCAACCCTTGTTGCCAGTGCGGGGCCCCTCAGTACACTGGCCCAGCGTGATGCATTGTGCGGCCTTGTTCCCCCTATAGCTGGTATATGTTGTGTGTTGCAAACAAGTGCAAATTGTGTGTATATATATAATATTACAATTACTATTGTATTTTCAAACTGTATGTATGCCATGCAATGCCATGCAATGCCATGCAATGCCATGCAATGCCATGCAATGCCATGCAATGCCATGCAATGCCATGCAATGCCATGCAATGCCATGCAATGCAACGTAACGTCATGAGACGTAACGTAAGGTAAGGTGATGTAACGTAATGTATTGGTATATCATGAATTATAATGATACAATATGATACATATTTATCTGGTTGGTGGTTTCAAACATTTTTTTTCCATAACCTATGGAATAATAATCCCAACTTACTAATAGTTACTAACATTTTTCAAGATGGTTAACACCACCAACCAGTTTATGTACAGTGTAATTCTATGATTGATATGCAGCCAAGCCAATGGCCATCTTCCCTAGACTCCAGACCTAGGAGTACTTGGTCGCCCCTGGTGGTGCAACTCTCAGCTGGGTTGGTGATTTTCCACACACATCCATGGTACTTCCATCAAGAATCTGAAAAAATGCAGGAACAGATGTCAAAAATTGGGATTCCACAAACATATCTCCTAGTTTTTTCTGAACATTGGGCATTCCATCAAAGAATCGCCATTCTTTTTTTCGTGAAAATGGGTGATTCCACCATATTGCACCAAAACACGGGGTCTTTGGTGTTTGTTTTTCTTAAAATGGCTTGAAACTGCGAAAGAAACACCCAGAGTTGGTCCTTCCGCATGTTTCGACATTTTGCTCACAGGTCCCCACCCTTTTTCCATTTTTCAAGATCTTCCACAGCATTTCCCAGTTTTTGGCAACATTTTCCAGATGTGTCATATACATCTTCCCCCGTTTTTCCATTGTTTTCCAGTCGATCTGAGTGGCGAAGGCGCTGGGCTTGGCGGAGCGCAAGAGGCTGGCCCCCTTGCTCCGACAGCCGCTGGAGCTGGTGGAGGAGCGTTGAAGCGATTGGGGCCATGAAATGATGGTGATATCATGGGTAAAACCATTCATTGAACTGTGTAAATTATAACGACCTGACTGTTCTCCCTCACTGGATTAAAGGTTAGGATTGGGGGAATTATCCCAAAATTAGCCTGGTTTTTCCGGTGAGTGAAATATTGTAATTTACCCAGATTCATAAACCATGAATAAACCCAACAAAAAGGGTAAAACGGTAAAACCAGTAAACTGTTTAACCAACAAAATCAATGGTGATATAGTAGGGTAAACGATTGATCATGGTGATATACTGGTGATATGATGGTGGTATAAGGTACAGCTAATTACGAACCATCCCCGATAAAGGTTGGTTGATGGGATGGCTTATTTTCGGGTTTACCGCATGAATGGGGATACAAGGGGGATATGGATACCGGGATGTTTAGAAATCGTCAAATTGAAAGCAACATGTGGATTTGTTTCAAAATTGGGGGATCGCTCAGAGAATTTTCATTGGGAAAATGATGGTTAACCAATGGTTTTTCCAACGCCGAGAACCGGGATGCTACTGGCGATTTTTTCAGCAGCAAGATGGATGACGATGTTTTCCGAAACGTCCCAGTGTTCGTGTGAAAATGGTCAAATATTGCCTAGCAATGGAGAGATATGCACTATTAATCATTTATAGCCTGGTATTTCAACAAACGGACTTGAGTAGCGACAAGTTAGCTGTGGTGACCCGGGATAGCGACAAAAAGGCTGGTCTTTTCGAGCATCTAGCCATCAAGTGATTATGATATTGAGTCGACCCCACATAGGAATTTCCCAGCAGAACATGTTCAGCAATTTTTTCAATCCAATGAATGTTTCTAATTCTATGAACAATTCGATTGGGTTCAATAGACTAACCTAGCCGGTTCTGATTTGACGTAAGAATCATCCGTTGCTGTAAAAACCAAGACTGGGGGAGATGACAAACAGATGAGGGTCATGTAATGCTGAAAAGTGGGATTAAATGATCAAACATGGGGTTGTCCAAAAAATTGGATATCCCATGGCTTCAAATGTCATTTCCATCATTTTGGAATGGCCAATCTTGGATTTTCAGCCTTTCAGTGGACCATCCCAGGACCCAGCAATCCCAATTGCGTCCGCAGCCGCAGGAGATGAGACAGAGCGTTAGTGCTGCTAGGACTGCTGGACTGCTTTCCCAAAAATGTGGCTGGAAATCCTAAGGGTGACCCAAGGGTGCGCACGTGTGAATCAAGTGTCTGGTACCCTTTTTTGGGTAGATTCACGATTTCATTGATTTCAACCTTGTCGGGGCTATGTCCCGAAATGAGGCAACTCAGTAGCTCTCGAAGTCATCCATCATTTTAATACTGTATATTCTAATCCGGGTGTGCGAGAAAGGGAAACCTCTGATTGGGTTATTCCTTTTTTGGTTAAAAGGACCCTGGTAAGCCTCTTTTCAAAAGGGATCTTCCATATATTGTCTGACAAAGGTAATAAAACAATCATACAGAATAGTCCTGTATTGGCCCAGATGCGAGGATATCCACTTGGATGTGCTCACCAGGATTATCCGTTATGGCATGCATATCTGTGGGCATGTCTCAAAATCATGATCCAGTTTTGAACCATACCCAGGTGCATGATTTGCCCAGGATATGCCTGCAACCGCCCCTGCGATCATTGGACATCAGCCTGTTGGGCTCCCAGTTATTTCTGCCTAAACAGATGGTGGTTTGACAAAATGATTTCAGAGACTTGCAGAAATAGAGCCAGGAGAATTTTCACTGGGTAAACTCGAACTGGTAGGGAAACAGGGCCGGATGTGACTTGCGATGATCCCAGGCAAGTCCTCTACAAGCTGCGCGGTTTCTACCGATTTGTTCAACATTGGCTGGCGAGCCCCAGATTGGCTGAAAATTTTGGGCCTTCTCCCAGATTCGTATGATGTACTTGGATCGTATTGAGATGATTAACCAGAAGCAATCACTCATGGGGATTTATTCGAAATTTATCGATCATCTATCAATAGTAAATAATTAGTATACATATTCGGAATATTCGTCTATTTTATTCTTGTGATTTGGGGTCACCTCGTTGCTTCCCCTCGGTTGAGGCCATTGCTTTGGAGCAGTATCCTGGTGGTCGCCACTGGCTTTGCCACCTGGTCCTTGGTTTGCCTCTTGCTGGTGCCTTGGCGGAAACGCTGTGGGGGGAAAGCTGAGCTCTGGGATTCAGAGTGATCTGGTGGATTCAAAGCTGCTTTCTGTTCTATTTCAGATGTATCAAGGTGGATTTAATTGTTCATTTCATGGCGGATTGAAGACCATGAAGAACACCTTCCATTTTGGTGATACCATGTTTGCCCTCCTCCTCGCATAAGATGGGATGGTGAGCCAGGGTGACAGTGACCTATGACATTGACATTAGGTCATATGGGTTTGTATCAAAAGGGGGGAATACCCCGCCTGCAAACCCATTCTTTAGCATCGAAGTATAGCCATGAACGAAGTTGGAGACTTGATATTTCGATTATCAGATATATATATATATATATACATACATATATATTTAAGGATATTTGGGGTATGACCCCGGACAAACCACCTGGATATGCATCATTATGCATCCCAGGCACTGTTTGATAAGCCCCATGGCAAGTGAGCCAATATGCTGGAGTTGTGCATTTCACGGATGGGTCTAAGGTAGGGGGGATTCCCCCAAGGCTTCAAATGCCTTGTTGGAGAATCATCAGCCTTGGGTTTTTGAGGTTTCAAGTACCTCTTTTTTTTTTTCAGAGAGCTTGAGAGAGGATCACTTGGGAAGTAGGATGAGTTTCAGTGACCACTTTTACATTTTTTTTCCACTAAACCAATGGTGTTTGGGAAGCAATATGATCATCACCCAAGCATGGATGATATTCATCCCATCCCGTTGTTCCCAGGGTCAACATCGGCGAATAAACATGGGAACCCTATAAGAACAGGAACTAGCAATTCATTGTGACAGACCACACTCTGACCGCGCCCTTGAAATACGAACGTGATACGAACCTGATACGGGATGAAACAATGTTACTATGAGACGAGGAGTGGAGGAGTGACAAGGAGGAGGTGAAAGAGGAGAGGAGTGGCTCACGCGGGGTGGAGAGACTGTCAGCTGTCAGGTGGGGAAAAAGGTAACGCCGGCGAATAACAGCGAAATGCCACAAAGACATGCAAAGAAAACAACCGTCAAAAAAACGGGAATTCGAATCAACATGGGAACTAGCCCACGTGGAATTCGAACATCTTTTATTTTTTCCTGTTTTATCTTATCCACTGCATATGCAACTTCCTGGCTGGCCTCGCAAACTGCACAGGCTCAAGGACGTTGGTTGAGGTGGCAGGTGCAAGGTCTAGGCTTCCCGGGTTCAAGGTCCAAAATAGGTTCAAGGTCCAAGGTCCAAGGTCCAATACAAAGTCAACATAAGTAGTGACTTGCTCTGCGCCTATTCCCCAGTTTCTCCCTCTGCTTGGGCCTCAAATCAACATTTTTGGTAAAGGCTGTTTTTGCATTGGCACAACTTTGCGTGGCCATGTTCCGTCCCTTCCTTTTCTCTGTTTTTGGTGCCCGTGATGAGGCCGAACTCTGCGTGGCATTGCTGTATCGTGTGGCTGCACTTGGGTGACCGGCTGATGCATCAGCCGCACAGGTGTTTGTTTGCATAGATCATTTTTTCATTGTGGAGAACGTTCAAAGTTCGAGTTAATTTCGTTTTTAGGAGATGATGCCACAAGTTGAAAGCCACAAATGTCACACTTTCAGTTGAGTTGACCAATGGCTTACCTGACATGCATTTGGTCCAAGGTCCACGGTCCCAGATCCAACAAGCTCCACACTCCCAGGTCCAACAAGGTCCACGGTCCCGAGCCATGTCAGATGGTCCTGAGCATCAGGAGCAACAACGTGCAGTGCCACCTGCACCATCTGTGGCGCCAAGTGTCGCTCCTTCAGATGCTGCTTCGCATGTTTCTGGTGGTGGGCAGGCACAAGCACTTGGGCAGCAGCCAGGGCTGGCACAGGTACTTGTGAGCTCTGGCCCGAGAGTGCAGCCTGGCATCATGAAATTGAACCCATCGCAAGTCCAGGGGGGTCTTGTGACACTTGGTTTGAGCAGGGTGCCATTTTTTTGTTGTCATGGTGATCCCTGTGCTGGTGGTTTTTGAATTGGTTTTGGTTAGTGTCAACTTTCTTTGCTGAAGCAAAGGAACCTCAATACGGCCCCGGACTTTATCAAGAATGTGTACGACACGCGGGCAGACTTCACCTGGGCCTTTGCTGGCTTCAATCCGTTCCGGTCCAGCTTTTTCCCTGAGGGCCGCAGGACCCAAACATCTGTACACAATATGTGCGCTCGCTGCTAGGTGGATTTGTATTCCATTTTTCAATATTCTTTCCATGATGATTTGGGATGCTTTTAACATGGGCTTGGAAACAATTTTCATTATCCAATGTGCATGAAAATTAGGCTTTACGCGCATGGAAGCTGATGTTGTGATGGAGGTGGGGCAGCTCTTGCGCCAGCTGTTGCTGGGATATGCTTGAGAAGAGTGCCTTTTTTAGGGCGTTTTTTTGGGGTAATGTGCCAGAAGCCATTTGAATAACATGAATTTTCTTTGTGTTGCCGGCGCGTCTGCACTGAGTTGATCTGTCACATTCGCGAGCTCTTGGAGCAGTTTGGCCCCAACCGACCTGATGGACCTCAGGCAAAGCCAGTGTACAAAATCTTGCTCTACCCATACACGTTGCATAGCCTTGCAAGTGGCCACCACTTGAAATACTTTGTGTCTTGGCTGAAACTGGCCTAAGATTTAAAGTTTTTTTTTTCACAAGGCTAGTGTTTTGACAGGGACCAGAACCACCTATTGTTCAGCTTAACTGTTTTTGTTCTCCCAATGTGCTTTGGCACGGAGGAAAATTATTCTGGATGGGAGGGCTGGCCACTTCCACAGACTGAGAATGAAGAGATGCCTGATATTTCGTGTATGCAAGGGATGCGGTGGTGTTGGCCAAGAAGTTTGTGAGGCTGACAGGGCCGAGCCAGCGCCGTCCAGGCTTCGCTCATTGGAAGACAGGAATGTGGCTTTTGCAAAACAGGCCCAATGTTGTAAAACCCCAAGTTTCTGAATCTTATATTCAAAATTTTGAAATGCAATTTACTTCTGCCAGGAACATGGCCATGATCGAGAAGTCCTTTTTCTGGGAGCGTTTCAGCCCTGAAGTTGTCGCTCAGTTCACAGAGTGCGGCATCAAGCTGAGTGTGCTCCACACGCTGCTGACGAAGCTTGCGATTTGATTTGGGGCTTTGATTTCTAGTTGAATGTTTCAAGGTTGCAAGTGCGACTAGCCAACTTTTTGTTTTCTTAGCGCCCCAAAGAATGTAATTTGGTAAAAGCTTTTGGCAGTGGGCCATCATCCTGTCCCAGGAGAACAGAGGAGCTCAGCCTCATGCGAGATGTTCCACACGGGAACAGGCAGTTTCCGTGGCCAGCCAGGGGAGGCCCGGCCATGGTCACGCAGCGTGTCGGCAACCGGCAATGGGTATTTTTACTCGTTCCAGCTGGTTGCCATGGAGGCCTCACATCGGGCATTTGTCACACCACGGTATGTCCTCAAGGTAGCTGTGGCAGCATGTTGGTTTCGAAGCCCTTTTGTGTGTGTGTGTGCTGTTTGAAAAGCGCATGTGCACCCTTGAAAAAGCCAATGTGCATCCTTAGATAACAGATACTTATCAAATTGCCAATCCAAGGGTGCCAAAAGCTATTGGAAGAGTGCCTGGCTCTCGACATATATCTATATTAATAGAATATAGTATATTATAAACTAGAATATCGTACATTTTACAATGTGATATTCAATGTTTAATATATAAGACAACATATTCAAATATATTCATACAATATAATATCATTGGTATATCAGATAATTTCATTTCACAAAACATAACATAACATAATACAATACAAGCTACCCCAACATAACATCATACAAGATAATACAGATTCAATACAATACGATTTTATTTAGTACCCTATTATAAAATACGATACCAAAACTTTTTCTATACCATAGTACTATACAATGCATTAAAATATGATACACCGTAAAGGCATTGTTTTGCACCAGCCCCAAACATGCACTGAAGGCCTTTGTCCTCAAGGGCGATCTCACCACCAGTGGCGACGAGTGGATCTTCAACAGCAAGCGCGAAGTGCCTCTTTTATGGACAGGGGACACCAAGGAGGATTTCACATTGTGCCTGAACGGGTTCTCCTATGTGCCTGTGTTGTTGAATTCAGCTTAATGTTTTGCTTTCCCCAACACTTTTTGGTTTCTCATTTTTCTTTTGACAGCTAAAGCAGTGCCAAAAGCTTAGGTGCAGGCTTTGGTCTACAAGGGGGTGCCTGTGGTGCTGCACTTCCAGCGCCAGGCCGATGCACAATGGCAACCATTCGAGCTGCATCTCGCCCGATGCACCCGCTGGACCGCGGGTGTTCAGTTTGCCTTGTGGAATGGACGCGCTACTGAGCGGGGCCGTGTTGGTGGTGGCCCAGGTGCCCGTGAGCGTGAAGGATATCCACGTCCACAGGGAGGACGACGGGGAGGAGGAGGAGGCACACCACGCAGTCAGCAGGCCGAAGAGCAAGCTGAGGACTTTGCCAATGCCGGTGATCCTTGGGCAGATGCTCAGTGACTTCTTGGACAGCAGCCATAGGCACCGCAAAATTATTTGGAGATAAGAGCCATCCCTACGGTAGGAGCCATCCTAGGTCCATGGTCGAAGGTCCAAAGTTTAATCTCCAAACCACAAAGTACTTCTCTGATTCTTGGGGGGCAGTAGGCAAGCCATTTTGCACAGGCAAAATTCGAGGCTTGATTTTAAGCGAGCCCAAGTGGGTGCTCATTGCCAGATTGTTGAGCATCCAAGCAGATACCTCGCCCAGCACGACCTTTTCTGTGGAGGGAAAAACTTGTGTGCTTCAGCTGAGCCAAGTTCAATTTCCTCTCATGGCATGGCGCATGCAGACACTGCACAGCCTTTGGAATCCATCATCTTGTTTTCATTGTTCATGCTTCGATGGCCCAGGCCAGACTCTTCTTCTTCCGCGCAGGAGGCTTGGGCTCGTTCAGGAACTTGTGTTTTCGTGGCAATTTCATTCTGGTACTACCATTGTCACACATTTGTCTCAATAATTATGATTTGGATGATGGTTTTATAGTTCTTTGTTAACTTGGTTGGGTTGGTTTGGCCAGGACACTTGGCTTCACTTCTGGGGTGTCTTTGGCAGAGCTTGGTCTTCAGGCCAGGGCAGGCAAAGTGGATCAAGCGGAACTCAAGTTGATCTAGTTTCTTGTGCTAGGCAGGTGTCGACATTGATTGATTATTGCTTTTTGTCACATTGGCGAACTTGGTCGTTTATGTGTTGTCGACACACAATTGGTATTTCCAAACATGTGCAAGCCGATGCAGGTGGCAGAATTCCTGGTCAATTAATTTAATGGTGCGCTTCAAGCGAGGAGGATACCGTCTTTCTTTCAATGCTATTCAGATTCTTGCCTTGGATGCTGGCAGGCACAAGCACCTGGAAGCCAGGGACCCCAGAGCATATCCATTTTAGAGTTGGGGGATGCAGTTTTCAGCAGTTGCCAACATGTTTGAGTCACATTTGCTCTCCATCTGTGTTTCATTTTTGAGCTTGATATTCATTCAAATAGCCTTCGTTGTTGCAGCTTGAAGCTTAGGGTCGTTTTTTGCACCATGAGCGAGTGCAGTTTGCCTTCAAAGTTGCTGCAGTGGGTGGATGGCTGGGGTCGAGATCTGCAAAGACGTGTGGTTGCTGCATTGGCTGCAGCCTTTGCAGAGGTCCAAGGTTCAAGGCCCACAGCGACGTCTTTCTGGCCCAGATGTCTTGCATAGTGGCACAGATTGCAATGGGGTGGAAGTTCAGGGCCTTCGATTGCAATGCAGGCATTCGTGACCATCTGAAATAGCAGCTGCGCCAAAGAAGGTGTTGTTGGCAAACACCCCGCCGAGTGATGCATTCTTTTTGGAGATGTTTTGAACACTGCAGTGGGCCCTCCTCCAATTTGTCTTTGTATGTGTCAAGCTTTTGGTGACGCCCTTTTAGCAGATTTCACAACAAAAAATTTCATTGCTAGATGAACCAGAGGCCAAGGTCTTCTGCGGGGTAGCACGCAGAATCCTCATAGTGCACCCTCCTGTCTTTCTACTCGAAAACGTGCAAGGCATCGAGCGAGTGCTGCCCGAAATTCTTGGGACTTTGGGGTGTGGCGGATTGTATCGTGGGCCTTCCTTCGAACAATTCGTGGGTTGGCTCATCCTAGGACATTGGCTAGCAAAGGGTTCAGCTTGAAGCATTTGCCAAAGCCCAAGCAGAAGTAGTTGTTTCATTTTTGGGGTTGAGCTTGCGAAGGGCTGTTTTTTGGTCCATGGTCCTCATTTCAATGTACTATACAATACACTCCTGGTTGGTGCCAACCAGGGCCGAAGCGCGAACGAAAAAAGATGGTCATTACACTTGGCCTAAGACCTGCATAATGCAACATCGAGAGGCAAGTAAATTAGACTCCTGGTTGGTACCAGCCAGCGCTGTATTTGAAGGAAAAAATCCCGAGTTTTCACTTTATTATTCGCTATATCTTCGGACCTGGTCGGTACCAACCTGGAGTGCATTTAGCAAACCCAATTCAAGGCTACACAGGTTCAAGTCTAAGGGTCAGCACCTCACTCCAAGGCTACACAAGCCTCAATCCAAGGGTAAACAGCCATTCTTGTTACATAGCTCTGAATCTGAGGCTATGTCACGAAATGGCCCTGAGCCATTCTTCACTCCTGCAGAGGCAGCAAAGAAACTTAGCAGTGTGTAACCTGGCGCAGATTAAAATTGGCATGGTGTTTGTATTTGGACAGCAGCTTTGCCAAGCCCAGGACTTTACTTTCTGCAGATGGCTGGAAAAGCACTTGGACCAAGACTGCTCGACTTGCTGCCAAGTGTGTTATAGCGTGTGGTGAAGGAACGAATTTGTGGGAAATCAGTGATTTTCTTGGGCGAAGTCTTCATTGCACACGCGCTCAGTTTGCAACTGTGCTGGACTCAGCCCGTGCCTGCTTATTTGCAGGGGCTGTATTTGCAAGGTGGAAAACACAATGCACAGCCTGCGCAGCTATCTAGCTGATTTGGAAATTTCACCTCTGATTTCAGGCTTGGCTGGCAGCCTGGCTTCTCTACCGCCATGGTTGTTTGATTGAAGCTGGCAAGGTACAAAGCTTATTGCCTACTATTGCCCAGTGCAACATGTCACAGATAACTTGTAACTGGGCCTTTGATTTGGAATGCTTGGTGCCAATGTAGCTTTACCAAGGCCAAGCAGCAAGGAAGCCAGCCTCTTCCTTTGTCTATCTTTGTGAAATGCCTTCAGCCTACTTCTAAAGAATTCAAAAAAATAAAAAAGCGAAAACCAATCCAAAAAAAGCAAAACCCAATCCAAACCTCAATTAGAAAAAAGAAAAAAGCAAAAAAAAGCAAAACCCAATGCAAACCTCAATTAGAAAAAAGCAAAAAAAACAAAAAAAACAAACTATTTGTTTTCTCTTTTTTTTCGCTTTGTTTTTGCTTCTTTGTTTTTGCTTTTTTTCTTCGCTTTTTTTTCCGCCTTTGTTTTCGCATTTTTTGTTCGTTTTTTTCTTTCTCAGGTGACCTGATGACCGGGACCTTCGGAAATGTAAGAAACTCGTGGAAAAAAAAGCGGAAAAAAAGCAGAAAAAGAGCAAAAAAAAAAGGGGGAAAAAAGCGAAAAAAGGCGAAACAAGAGCGAAACAAAAGCGAAAAAACGCAAAAAACAATGAACACAAATAGTTTGCTTTTTTTGCATTTGGTTTTGCTTTTTTTTCGTGTTTTTTTGTTGCTTTTTTCTAATTGAGGTTTGGATTGGGTTTTGCTTTTTTAAACATTTTTTTTTGCTTTTTTTAATTGAGGTTTGGATTGGGTTTTGCTTTTGTTTTTTTCTAATTGAGGTTTGGATTGGGTTTTACTTTTTTTTTGATTTGGTTTTGCTTTTTTTAGTTCAATTTATTTTTCTATCGTTTTATAGAAGTTGCCTGTAAGCCGTGTCACAAGTCTATCTTGCAGCTTCACAATGTGTTTTTGCATCGGCCTGGTCGAAGAAAGGGCCACTTCACTGCCTTCCATGCTTTTGCTGGGATCTTTTCCCATGGCACTACCCGCTCGGCCCATTCCTGGCTGAATTAAGACCTGGCAAGCTGTGTTTGCTCAAAGTTGTTAGTAGACTTTTGCCTTTTTTTCCCGAGGTGCTTTGAGTGAAACTAAGGCATTAATAGGACAACAAAAGCTTTGGCCAGCTTCTGAAGCTTCGTGTGGTTGAAGCCCTCGAGCCTTCAGAGCAGTATGGCATAGTAGCAGTGTCAGCACATGTCAGAGATGCAAGGCCAGGCTGATGTTTGATCAGCTGGTTCTGCATCAAAAAGGACACAAAAGTATGTTCAAAAACAGTTTTCTGTTGGTCAGGCTTGCCCAGCACTTCCTGAAGAAGGCTAAGGATGCGAAAAAAATGGGCCTAGCAGAGCTTGTCTCCAGCTTCTTCAAGGAGACTCGTGGAGTTGGAACACGTAAGGCATTCCTCCCACCAAAACAAGCTTCTTGTCGCAGCTTGAAAACAGGTCGTAGGTCCAAGGTCTATGGTCGAAAGCCCACTTGCACACCCAAGCCTGTGCCTTGCATGCAAAAAGGTTGTGTGTGCTGTGCTCAGTGGTGCAGTGCAGTCATGGCATTCTTTGTGCCTGCAGCTTGATGCCATGTGACCTTTGCCAAGGTGACCATCCATCCCAACACAGATATTGGCAGCTTTTCATTGGGCGATGCTTTGAAATTTATTGGGCAGTTCATCGATGCAACCCTGGCCTCCACCATTGTCTATGAGGAGGGGGAGTGGACAGTGAACCCAGACCAGCCACTAGCTAGCACCCAGACAAGAACAGGCCTATGAACTTAAAAACGGTTTGAAATTGCGTTTGCATGACTGGACAGCATGCGCTACTAGAACATCATTGAGCCAAGGATTGGGGCCATTGACATGAAAGCGAGGAACTTGATGCCAGTTCACATCAAGCAGCATCTAGCTTCGCTTGGGTGTTTGGCTAGTATTGAAGCAGCTGACAATGATACATGGCAGCTGGGTTGCAAGCTTCAAACTGTGAGCAATGCAACTTCTGTGTGGAAACTTAACCAAAGCCTGGCCTGTGCGGTGCCACTTGCTTTCAGTGCTGTGTGCATGGTACTTTTTTTAAAAGTTGCTGTTCAGCAACCAAGATTTTCAGCTACATGGTTTTTAGTCATCATTTGGTTCAAGTGAACCAGAGTTGGACCAGTTCTGTGGCATGATGTTGATGCTGGACAATTTTTTAGATTTGAAGTTGCTCCTCAGGAATGGCACAGATTCCAAAGCTTTCCGCGCCTGGTGTAGTATGTCCATTGAGGATGCCACTGAGATGGTTCGTGAACATGTGGCAGAAGCTGAAGGTCACTCTTTGAAAGTGAACGGCTTACTGAAAAAGGTGGAGCCAGGTATGGCGGTAAGTGCCTCTTGCAAAGCGATGCAATGCTTAAGGACCTTCAGCGCAGCTTTGTCTTAACAATTTTATTTTTGGTGCCTTCCAGACATCAATGACCTGCTTCTGCACCATGCAACTTGCAGCAGGAATTGGTGCTGGGACAAGAAGAGTTCCTTGGCAAGGGTTGAAGCCAAAGCACAGCAAGCTATTGTCCAAAACCTTGCTGAATATTGGGACGGTGCTTTTTTCCATCAGAATTTGTGTTTCTTTAGCTGGCTTTAGGTAACTGGGTGGATGACGAGCTTCCAGTTTTGGACGAGGAGATCCAAAGCAGTGCTCGCAATCAGAGGCAGGCATGGTTTTAGGATCTTACAGATGGGCTGTGATTCTTCACCTAGAACAGATGCAGATGAGCCTCGCTACCTTGTGAGGCTCTAACTTTTCTTCGTGGCCCTGAGCTTTCATTGTGCTAGGAGGCCAGCTTGTGGCAGAGTCATTGCTGGGTGGAGAGAGAAGAGAAAACAGTGACAGTGAAGATGAACCCTTGATTTGTGATGGAACCCCATACATGTCTAAGATTGCTTCGACCTTCTATTTCAAGGTCAAGGTCCAAGGTCCAGGGTAGGGAGGGCAGATTTCGGTCTTATTTTGCCATTTGCCATTGACCTGCAGCAATGAGATCCGATGCGGCATTCACTCCTTTGACACTTGTGGGGGATGCTGCGTGGTATGACTACCATTTGACTGCTTAAAAGAGGCATGCTCCTTGCCTGATACTCCTGCATCGCAGATGCAATCGTTCTGTTCTCTTTGCACATTCCACCCGGCGTATGTGGATGCTGTGGCTTGTTTGAGAAAGGAGACAGTTAGGAAGCTCGGGGCAGCTTTGTCTGATGCTGACACTCCATCTGCCCAGCAGTTGCAGAAGAAGATCTCTATGGAAAGGATTGGCCCTGCACTGCTTGATCCAAGTGTTATGATCTTCCAGCTCATGGCCAGGGAGAACATTCCATCTGTGTTGGGCAGTGGGAAGCTGACGGCCAACAAAGACATGTCCTACACATTACGCAGGAGCTTCGGTCCTCACCAGTTGGCTCCAGGAATGAGCTCAGAGTTTTGGAAGTTGGAAGCGCAGCCCCTGGGATCAGATTTGCAGTCTTGGTGCCACAACTTTGGATGATGGGTGTGGCTTTTCAAATGACATTCACAAATATCCCATTCTTTCTACCATGTGCTGGGCACCCTTGCAGGGAATTAATTCCTCTCCTTTGTTTTGAAATAGCGCGTGTTTTTGACTTAAAATAGCACGGTGCAGGTCAAAGTGGACCCTTCGAAAACAGCTTGTGCGCCCTTCACTTCACTATTTTTTGCTTTTTGCAAGATGAAGGGTGCACATTCCCAATTTCAAGGGTATAAAGTTGCAAGCATGCCATGAGAGTGGCACATTCATTTTAAGTGATACCATCTAGCACTGCCTTGAAAGTGAGTGTGTCACAAGGGGATCCCATGATTACACCACTTCCTTCCAGTCATTGTGGTCCAAGGTCCCAGGTCGAAAGTCCAAGCTCCTGTTTCAGCTTGGTGTTGAGTCTGGCAATGGCCGTGTGGCGTGACTCGCTTGAAAGACCCGCCTGCGCTGCAAGACTATAGGGTGCCGCGCCGGCCCAAGGTCAGCAAGTCCCGCACATTTCGGGGCGAAGCTGTTCGAGCTGGCTTGGCCCCAAAGGTTCGCAAGCCTTTTGTCCTCTATGTGGTGGAAAACCGTTTGGTGAAGCCAAGCGCTACAAAATCTCAATACCAGGCTGAGCTGAAACGTTTGGGGCAGGCTTGGAAAAGATTTGCACCATGCCAACGGGCACAGTACAATGAGCGCAGCATGGCAGAGTTTGAGGCTCAAAGGCAAGCAGTCATGTCTGCTCGGGAGAAGAGAAGCAATGACAAGGGGCAGGTGTCCAATGTCCCTGTGTTTGGCGAATTTTGGCTGGGCCCCGACAAGGTGAAGAAGTCAGGACACAATGGCTTCAGTGCTGTTGCTGGCCAAGGATCCTATGGAAAAGTACTCATTGCCCGTGGTGAGTGTGGACGCCTGCATGCTGTTAAAGTCTTGTGTGGCAGAGATGCCATTGCAGAGGCTGAGCATGAAGTCGTGCTATACCAATCCCTGCAGGAGCTGAAAGATTGCGATCGGCAACGGTTCCGAAACTGCTGGCTTCGGATTGCAAGGGGTGGCCATTTCCATGGATGTCGTTGTCTTTTGGTGGCTTGACCTTGGCACGGTGCTTGCTGTCCGGTGAGCGGTTTGAGAGGGACACTGTGTCTGCAGTCGTTCGGCAGCTTGAGCTTGCATTGGTGGTCCTGCACAAGCATGCAAGGATCCTGCACCGTGCCGCGAGCTAGCGCAGTTGCAGCTGATTGACATGGGCATGGCTGCGGCAATCAAGGACGACTTTGTGCCGCGTTTTCAAACTTATGTAACCCAGCCTATCGCCCACCAGAGCTCTGGAATTGCAGTGGCCCAATTGCAAAGTTTCTTGCTGTTGTTGTTGATCTTTGGAGTTTTGGGTGTGTTGTTTTTGAAGTGGCCGCTGGCTTTTCTTTGACGGCAGGTCGAACATGAAAAAATTGGGGAAACAGCAGCGGTTTGAAAACAACAATTGACGAATGGTGTGTGGGTTTTCCAGATTTCAAGCAACAGACACCACGTCAGCACCTGTCTAGCACGTTCTGTATGCAGAAGAACCGCCTTGCCATGGTAGCTCACATCAGAGATGTCATCCAAAGCCATGTTCTAGAATTTTGAAAGGGTAGTAGCCAATTGCTGCAGGTCAATGTTAGTGGGTTCCAGCTGCTGCTTCGTAAATGTTTTGGGTCCAGCAGGGTCCATGGTCCAAGGTTCCAGTTTCAAATGCATCTTAGGAGCGAAGCAGCAGCTGCATCATTGCTGCTCGAACATTGGGGACTTTGGGGTTGGTGTGCAGCGACAAAAATGGAAAAGGAAAACGCATTGCCACATTACGAATGCCATCAATTTATTGTCACATGAAACTGTCTAGATCCTTTTTTTCCTTATCTTTGAGCCTGTCTGCATTTGTTTGGCAGGTGATATCGCGCTGGAGCCTGGGGCAGACCTGCAAGCAAGCAACAAACGAGAAAAAGAGCGGCATTGCTTGAAGCAAGGAGGAAAGAAACCAAGGTCAAACCACCCATTTGCTTAATATTTTTCCGGCTGGTCGAATTTCTCACCCAGTAGCAAAAACAGGAACATCGGCGAGGAAAAATGGGACCCCATGCCCAAACGCATCCAAAGCCGACTCGCTCGCGAAAAACATTGGAACTCACGAGAGCAGAGCTTAAATAAAGAAGTGAAGGCTCACAGTGCCCAGCTCTTCCCCATGGTTTCCAGTCATGTTTTCCTTCAATCAATCCATTTCTCGCAGAATTGGATGAAGAGTCTTTTTTTCAGGGTGAAAACCATAGAAACCATTTCTTGGTGAACATCTTTCCAGGTTGTCCTAGTACTGCGCCGGCGCCGCCTGCCGCCCGCCGCGGCCTCTGCTACCGCCGTGTTGTTCCCAGCGCTCTCCGACGCTGCAGAGCCTGAGACAAACTCCGAGGCCGGGAAAAGAGGTGGAGGGAAATTACGATATACAGACTATACGACATATGATATGATATACATGATATATTACATGTATGAATGTTATATTGATGATATATGATGTATTTGTATGGTTGTATATCCACACATATATATATATACACACATAGCAAACCCGAAATAGATAGACAAGTCGGAAACCTTGGAATTAGGAGGTAGAGAGAGAGATATATATATATATATCATCTATACCATCCTCAATAAGGATGCAACCAGGAGTTTGTTTTGAGGCAGAAAGAAACGTTTTGACAGGAGGAAGGCTAGTTTTCCTGGTTGAAATAAATGTTTCTAGACGGCAGAAACGGTTTGTTTTCCAGGCGGGGTTTGTTTTCCAGGCGGAAACTAATGTTTTGGTGTTGTCCAAGCTTGGGACTGGAAGCAGTGGAAAGAGAAAACAAATGTTTTCCTCCAAAAACTAACGTTTCCCTTGCGAAAACGTAAGTTTCAGGGCTCGAAGCAAACCTTTTTGGAAACGTTAGTTTGAAACTGGAAACTCAAAACAAACTCCGTCGGAACTAGTTTGAAACGCTCACAAACATTTTTTTTCCGACTAGTTTGTTTGCTTGTTTTTGCGAAAACGTTTGTTTCAGAAACGTTTGTTTTAGGTACGGAAACAAACTATTCTACGAAACGTTTGTTTTGGGTTGGAATAACAAACTGCCAGACTGCGAAGCTGAAACGTTTGTTTTTCTCGCGCAAAGTGCAAAAAAAATTCTGCCGCTCCTGGTGCTGCTGCTGCTCAGGGGAGCAAGCGGAAACTTACAAACTCATTTTCTCCGGCTTGGAAACCCTTTGTTTCTCGACCTCGACACGTTAGTTTTGAAACCTTAGTTTCCCTATGGTTCCGATAACCTCTCCTGTAAACGTTTCTTTTCCCCCCACCCCCCAAAAACTTTGTCTTTCCCCCAGAAACAAACATTTTTCCTCAGGGTTAGTTTGTTTCTCCCGCTCTCCCCCTACAACCCAGCCGGGCCTCGGGGGTAGAAACTAACCTTTTCCACTTCAAAACTAACCTTTTAAACTTGAGTTTGAAACATGCTGATCGCGTCCATACTCACCATCCTGGAAAAAAATATGGAGGCCTATTTTTTTTTGGAATTTTTTTCTTTTACGTTTTTGGATTTTTTTTTGGGTTTCTTGTTTTATCTTGCTTTCTCCTTTTTTTTTTTTGCGTTTTTGCTTTTGTGCTTTTTTGTTTGTTTTTTTTTGTTTTTTTTTGCTTGTTTGCTTTTTTTGCTTTTTTGCATGTTTGCTTTTTTGCTTGTTTGCTTTTGTGCTTTTTTGCTTTTTGCTTTTTTTGATTTTTTGCGTTTTTGCTTTTTTGCTTTTTTGCTTTTTTGCTTGTTTGCTTTTTGTTTTTTTGCTTTTTGTTATTTTTGCATTTTTTGCTTTTTTGCTTTTTGCTTGTTTGCTTTTGGCTTTTGGCTTGCTTTCCATGGCTTTTGGTGGTATTTTTAGTATGTCAAAATTGCACATTTTTCAATACACTAGTTTGAATCGACTATATTCATATATATATATATTTATGTTTAAATTAAAATCATAATATATATATATATATATGTGTATATATTATATGTATATATATATGTATATATATATATATGCATTTATATACACACTTGTATATTTATATCTAGATATATTTATATTATTTATATTTTCTACTTATATATATATATTTTATATATATTTACATATTATTACTATTTATGTTCAAATTCAAATATATATATATTTACATATATATATTTACATATATATATATTTACATATATATATATTTACATATATATACATATATATATATATTTACCTATATATATATTTACATATATATTTATATATATATATATTTATATATATACATATATATATGTAAATATATTTATATATTTATATTTATGCATGTATATATACACTTAAATATATATTATATTGATATATTTATATTTACATATTCATATTGATATTTTATATATTTATATTTATATTTATATATTTATTTTTATATATTTATATTTACATATAAATATATATTTATGTACCTATATATATATACATTCATATGTATATACATATAAATCATATAAATGTATATATATATATAAAGAAGTATGTATCTATAAGTACATGTACTGTATTCCACATGTTTCCAGGGTGCATGTCGTGTAGTCTATACACCTTGAGTATCACATTCAACCCAGCACCTTGCATGTAAAATAGGTGTTTCCAATCTGCTTTGGCGGGGAGGCGCTGCGCCCTCCCCCCAATCCCCCCCCTCCCGCTTTTTTTAATTATTTAAATTCAAACTTGCACACTTTTCAATACACTTGTTTGATTCGACTATATTAATATTTTGTTAGAAATTATATATATATATATATATCTAGACATATATATATATATAGACACGTATACATATATATATATATATATGTATATGTATATGTATATATTTGCATTTATATATACACTTATATTTATATATATTAATGTACTTATATAAATGTATATATATATACATACATATTAATATGTATATACATATCACTGTATATATATATATTTATAATTATATAACTATAAGTATATATATATTATAAATACACATACATATTTACTTATAGATATACAGACGTATACATATATATATATGACATATTTGTGGTTGTTTTTATACACAACTTGCATCCCAACATAAACAACAAATAATCATGTAATTATACCTAATTACATGTTGTATCCCTAAACCCTAAACCACACCCTGCATATACATACATACATGCATGCATGCATACATACCTACCTACCTACCTACCTACCTACGTACATACATACATACATACATACATACATATCTATATATATATATATAGATTGATTGATTGAAGAAAACCAAAGAAACCTTGCAGAAAACGATGGAAAATTGAAGAAAACCATGGAACAATTGAAGAACACTATGGAAAAATTGAAGAAAACCATGGAAAACTTGCAGAAAACCATTGGAAAACCATGGAAAATTGAAGAAAACCCGGGAAAAATTGAAGAAACCAATGGAAAAATTGAAGAACACCATGGAAAACTTGCAGAAAACAATGGAAAATTGAAGAAAACCATGGAAAATTGAAGAAAACCATGGAACAATTGAAGAAAACTATGGAAACATTGAAGAAAACCATGGAAAAATTGAAGAAAACCATGGAAAAATTGAAGAGGCACGAACCCCAAAAAAAATTCCAAAACTGTAAAAAAAAAATACCAAAAACAATTCTGCACCCAAAAAATATATCTTTTCCGGGATCACTATATAACAGTAACAAAGTATACATAATAATATACATAATATACATTATATATACGTTATATATATATATACATTGTATCTATTTATTGCATAGATGTTTCTTCTTTGACTCTATAATCTGTACATACACATATAAATACATACGTAATCAGATGTAGTTCTATATTTGTAGATGTGAACCAGTGTGTATCTCCAATCCCATTTGGGCCATGTTTTGCCCAGTCACCTGCACCGTGCTGGGGCCGCAGGTTGATCGATTTGCCAAGGTGACGACGGTGGTGTCGGATGTCTGGAAACAATCCGTGAGCAAAATGGAGGACTCCGGCTGCTGGGCCAGCTGGGAATGATGCGATGTTCATTACGAGA